AAGGGGCCTCACACAGACATAGAGCTCTCCTCACCTGAATCCCAGGGGCCCGTCAGAGCAGGTGCCCCCGTTCAGACAGGGGTTACTGTGGAGGGAGGAGCAGGAGGAGTAGGTGAGCTCTCTGGATCTGCAGCCACAACGAGCCTTCACTGAGGGCCTTAGCGACACCAGGACCACGGGGCCCGATCCCAGGGGCTCTGGCTGCAGGCTGAAGTCCACCTCTGTGCTGCAGGAGGTGGAGGAGGAGCAGGGGGAGGGCGAGCAGGCGTCCACAGCAGACAGAGACACGCCCAGAGACGACTCCAGCTGAGGACAGAGATGCTAAAGATGTTAAAGAGAAAGATCGACCTGAGGGACTGAGGAACACATGGTTTACTTTTAGTGAACCATGTGTCCCTGAGTGAATTAAGCAAGATGGCGCCGTGCCAGGGCGCCGCTGCAAGAGCTCCGTTGTGCACCGTGATTTTTATGCTGTTTTTATCCTTTCACAAAACACTTGCCACTGTGGTATACGATCGACAGACTCTTCTGGATATACGGGACTTGGCTTGTGAGCCAGTGTTGCCTGCTCTGAGGTGCAATGGCTTTGACGAGTGCCCAGCTCGAGGAGAGCAGCGTGCGGACCGCGACAGAGACGGGGAACAGGGCGATGAGGCCGGGCGCCTCCCCCGTGTTCACCACCGTGCGGAGCCGGGTGTCTCTCGCCGACGGAGGAAGCGCAGACACCGGGGAAAGCGTGGCGGGCTTCTCGTGCGGAGTCGCGCCCCCAGGGTCCCACTGCCACCCATTTACCTGGCGAACGTTCAGTCTCTCCCGAACAAGTCGGATGATCTCCTGAGCCGAATCCAGTACCAGCGCGAGGCTCGGGACTGCGCAGTGTACTGCCTCAGCGAGACGTGGCTGCATCCGAATATCCCGGACTCAGCTGTTCAGCCGCCGGGATTCGCCATTTTCCGCTCGGACAGAGAGAAGGAGAGCACGGGGAAATCGAAAGGCGGAGGTGTGTGTCTTTTAATTAACCAGCGCTGGTGCACTGACAGTTGTATTGTAAACAAAATATGCTCTGCTAACCTGGAGTGTCTGGTTTTGAGATGCCGCCCGTTCTATCTTCCCCGAGAATTCTCAGTGATTTTCTTATGTGCTGTATATATTCATCCTCGGGCTGACTGTACAGCTGCACTGAATGACTTAAGTGACATTTTGCATAAACATGAAGCTGCTCACCCCAATGCTGTGATTATAGTTGGTGGTGATTTTAATAAATGTAACTTAAAGTCTGTATTACCGAACTTTTATCAGCATGTGAGTCAGCCTACCAGGGGAGCTCACATCCTGGATCACTGCTATAGTAACGTGAAGGCAGCTTACAGGTCCAGTCTCAGACCTGCTTTTGGGAAGTCTGACCACTCCTCTGTTCTCCTTCTTCCTTCTTATACACAGAGGAACAAACAGCACAAACCTACTTCCCGCACTGTACAGTGCTGGTCTGAGGAGGCTAACATGAAGCTGCAGGGCTGCTTTGATGCCACAGACTGGTCTGTTTTTAACTCTGAGAATGTTGATGAATTCTGTGAGGCTGTGACAGGATACATACAATTTTGCATTGACTGTTGTGTCCCCTATAAAGTTATTAAAGAACACTCCGGCCAAAAACCTTGGATGAACACTGACGTCAAATTGAGAATTAATGAGCGGACACTGGCGTTTCAATCCGGTGACGAGGGTGCTTACAAGCTGTCCTGCTACGCTGTGGAACGCTCTATAAAAGCTGCTAAGCGTTCCTATGGGGACAGGTTAGAGGGCTTCTTTGGGGAAGAGGACCCTCGACGCATGTGGAAGGGGATCAGTCTTATCACGTCCTGGAAACCAAGTGCAGGGAAAATGCTGGCCAAACTCTGCCAAACGAGCTCAACGACTTTTACTGCAGCTTTGAATCTGCTGATCCCCTGCCTTTTGTCTTCCCCGAATGTCAGGGTGCCTTCACAGTGACTGAGGATGAAGTACGGCGGGTCTTGTCCAGGACCACAGCTCGGAAAGCCGCAGGCCCGGACTGCATTCCTCCCCGCGTCCTGAAACTGTGCTCCGAGCAACTTGCTCCTGTTTTAACGGACATCTTTAACTTGTCACTCAGGAGCTGTACGGTGCCGGTGAGCTTTAAAAGGTCCACCATTATTCCAGTTCCTAAGAAGTCTCCAGTGACATGTCTCAATGACTACCGCCCTGTGGCCCTCACGTCTGTTCTTATGAAGACTTTTGAGCGGCTCGTGCTGGACTTCATTAAGAGCCAGATCCCTGTGAGTGTTGACCCGCTCCAGTTTGCTTACAGACAGAACAGGAGTGTGGAGGATGCCATCTCCTTTGCTCTGAACTCTGTCTACACTCATTTGGACACTAGTAAATCTGTGGCCAGAATGTTTTTCATTGATTATAGCTCTGCTTTTAATTGTCTTGTCCCAAGCATATTGGTTGAAAAACTTATGTCCCTTGGTCTGAATGTTGCCATGTGTAAATGGATTTTTAGCTTTTTAACTGACAGATCTCAGAGAGTAAAAATCAATGACTGTCTTTCTGATATTGTTTCTGTGAGCACTGGTTCTCCTCAGGGATGTAGTTTGAGTCCTTTGCTTTTTACTTTGTACACTCACGATTGTGTGTCCTCCTCTGACTCAAACTTGATCATCAAATATGCTGATGACACCACCATCATCGGTCTCATCAGTAACAATGATGAATCCTCTTATAGAGCAGAGATCGAACATGTTTTTCAGTGGAGTAAAGTAAACAATCTCCAGCTGAACACCGCAAAAACATGTGAACTTGTCTTTGACTTCAGTCGTAGCAGTTCTCACACTCCTGTCGTAATCGACAACTCCCAGGTGCAGATTGTAGAGGAGTGCAAGTTCCTGGGTTTAACTCTGTCTAACGACCTGAAATGGGACAAAAATACTAAACGGGTTGTTAAGAAAGCACGTCAGCGGCTCTTCTTTTTGCGGAAACTTAGAGAATTTACCACTAACTCTAAGATTCTGCTTAACTTTTATCGCTGCACCACTGAGAGTTTACTTGTTGATTCTGTGTCTGTGTGGTTTGGAAACATCACAGATAAAGAAAAGAGAGCTTTAAACAAGGTGCTCCGCTCTGCAAAGAGGACCGTGGGCTGTGAGCTTCCTGTTCTGGAGGTTCTTTATAAATCCAGACTTTTAAACAGAGCTCTTAAAATCATCAATGACTCTTCTGGCCACCCTGGGAAAGCAATGTTCCAGCTTCTTCCCTCTGGCAGAAGATATCGGTCGCTGAGATGCAAGACATCTCGCTATGCTAACAGCTTCTTTCCACAAGCTGTTAGGTGCCTAAACAGAGCACTTTAATTCCTGCTTTTACCCCTTGTATTGTTTTGTTGATCGGTGCCACAGTGTCAGCTGTTTTTTTATTCTTTTATATTCAGTGTATGTGTATTTTATATTACATTGTATCGTGCTCTTTATTCTGTCGGTGCACACAGAGTACCTTTCTCTGCAAATGTATTCCAATGTAGTTTTTATACTGCACATGGCTAATAAAATGAATCTGAATCTAGTTTAGAGCTTCATCATCATCACAGACCTGGAGGTGTTTTTAGATCATCCACACTGATATCAGGAACTTCTGACACAAACAAGTAACTCTGCTACTTCTGTCTGCAGCTCCACCCTGTTTGTCTGTAACTCCGCCCCTTCGGTCTGTAACTCCGCCCTGTTTATTTCTAACTCTGCCGCTTCTGTCTGTAACTCCGCCCTGTTTGGCTGCAACTTCACCCCTTCTGTCTGTAACTCCACCCTGTTTGTCTGTATCTCCGCCCCAGTTGTGTGTAACCCACACCCCTCCTGTCTGTTGCGCCGCCCCTTCTGTCCCTCTGCTCGAGTTTGTCTGTGACTGCGCCCTGTTTGTCTGTAGCTCCGCCCTGTTTGCCCGTAACTCCGCCCCTTCTTTCTGTAACTTTGGATGGTTGGAGTCTGTTGAGGTCAAGAGCAGTGAGGAGAGCTTCTCTGGACTATGGACTTTTCTACTCAGTCAGAACCAGCTCCACTAAACAATGAGACACAGCGCCCCCTTCTGTCAGTATTTAATCATGACTATAATCCAGATATGTTAAAACAACAGAAGCTCACACTAACAATGGACTGATGCTGATCCAAAGCTATACTAAAGACTAAAGATACTGAAGATACTAACGACAGGAGAAAAGATCAAGGAAAGGAAATATGAAGGAAATGTGTGTGTTCTGTACCAATTGTGTCGTATAAAGACCTAAAGTGTACAATTGTGTAACATAGTTGAACCCCAGAGGTCTTTTGTCTCTCAACATTTGTTTAACTATCTGTGAAAAACGTATCCATTCAATTCTTTCCCATGTTGTCTGTATCCTGCACCTCCCCGTTCTGTCTCCTTCTCCTGAGAGACTGTGTGTGTGTGTGTGCGTGTGTGTGTGTCTGTGTGCGTCTGCAGCGGAGATAAAACTCAGAATCCTGTGATTTGGAACAATTCAAAACAACAATGAAAATGAGACGCTTCAAACTCTTCCTCTTCATGAATATTTCATTCTCCGCCACAAAAACAGCTCATTGTTGAATGTGTTTCTGCAGAACAATGGCTCAGGCTTCATCAGCCTCAGTTAGCTCTAACATCAGACATGTAACTTAAACATGATCTTTAACCTTTAAATGATCAGCAGTGGTCTCAAGAGAAACTCAATTTATCCATTGGCCACAAGAGGTGGAGTCTGGGTGGGTTAAGGGTTATGTTTGTCACGTGTTTGTGTGTGTGCAACATATATGAACATCAGAGCAAACAGATCTATGCAGGGATTCTCTGCTCATTCTTTAACATCAACAGAAACTAAAGGTTTGTATCGAAACCAGCGCTGGACTGGCTTTGATTTAGCGAGTTTAGTTGCCAAATGTGACATGTACATTTCTTCTGTGTTATCTTATTTTATCTTAGTTGCGCTTCTGGAGGAGACACGGACTGTTTCTTACAGCGCCGTTTTTATTGCGTGCACAGGTCACGCAAAGACATGCACAAAGCAAGACATGCACAAAACAAGCAGAGAACGGTCCTGTGCCTATATGGTCTTGGGTAGATGACTACGTTACGGCTGCGCTCGCTCGTGTTGTTGTCAAAGCGGCTCACAGATAAAGTGTCAGATAAATGCTGTGGTAGTTTTCTTTATAAAATGATCTTTGATGTAAAACATGTGAGCCCAGACTCTCAATGGAGGCCGCACTAACGCTACAATCCGAACATGTCCACTAGGGGGCACACAATACCTTCTGAGTGTTTGAGACTGTACTAGGGTCTCTCTTGGCTGAGGCGTGTTCAGATAGCGGTAATGAAAGATACACTCGTTCTGTCAAGAGTCGATGTTTGAAACAGTCAAACATTTTATGTGTATGAAAATAATTGGCTTACATCACATGACCCCTTCAGCCGCACATGCTCAGTCTGCTTGTAGCCGTTAGCAGCTAACGGTAGCTCTTTGCGTCGCTCAGGAGAAGATAATAATGATAAATGTCTGTTCAGAGAAAAATTATGTCTTGTCTTTAATAAGGTCCAAGGGTCCGTGTATTTTTCAAAAATTCAATTTTTTGATATTTCATTTTCAATTTTAATTTGAAAAAAACAATTGAACGAAAAATACACGGACCTCCAAGGATCACTTTTTCACTTCCCTCTGCAGTGTTTGCTTCAGTTCATGTACAGACCATAATAAACATCAGAGACAAAAGACTTATTTTCCTCCATTACTATTTCACTGAATCAAATCACAATAATATTGATTTTTTCCTAAAACATCGAATTGTCACATTGTTCCCTCCCCTGATAAAAACATGATAAAAGCTCAAACTCTTCTATGTGTTCCTCAAAGAACAAAAACAGAAAAAATAACTGCTGCAGTTAATTGTCTCAGCATGAAGACATGTTTGTGGAAGGAGCTAAAACAGTGCATGAGGGAATAATATGAAAGAGAAACCAAAGAGAATGTGCTTCTTATGTTTCAGTCGTCACAGAGACGTGTTGTTTCTGGATCCTCTTTGATCAGTTCAAAGCAGTGACACTTTCTGACACCTTTTTTCCCCACGTTGGAAACATCAATTCTAAAGTTTACAGCTCAGAGCTCACCAAACTCTGTAGAAAGACGACAAAAACAAACATTGGTCTCTGCTCCTCATGGACCAACGGCTCTGTGTGTTTTTTATCAGTGCATGTCTTGTGTTTCAACTGTTTGATTCTCTGATCTGTTGGTGATGAATCGACAGCTTTTTAAAGTCCTCTGAGAACTACTGTTGTGACTTAGGGCGATTCATGAATAAATCAAATTGAATTGAATTGAAATATAACTGGAAATATCCGCTCTTTAATTTCATTCATTTGTGTTAGATTTATTCTATTTAGAAACAGAAATATCACATTTAGTTGATTTGAAAAATGTAAAACTATTGATTCAACACAGGCTGTGAATTCAGTCTTTGCTTCTGCTTGTTTACTCCATAAAAAGATCTCTATAAATACATGAACGTTAAACATGCATTAAACATGCTCCTACAGCAGGCCATATGTCTCACTTAACCCCAGGTCTCACACACTTCTGCTGGTTTCTGAACCGTCTGAGGCCCGTGAGGCGTGAGTGAGTGATGAGTGTGGTTGAACTGTCCCTGACTCTAACCGAAGGAAATGGTTTAGGCAGATAGATAGATAGATAGATAAATAGATGATGGATAGATAATGGATAGACGATAGATAGATAGATAGAAAGAAAGATAGATGATAGATAGACAGATAGAAAGATACAGTCGACAGATATTGAATGGAGAAACTTCCCAATCTGATACAATACTTTTCTGTAAAGAGACAAATAACTCTGAACATGAAGTAATAATGGGAGGATTTGGATTGTAAGGACGAGTCTGAGACAGAGAAGGCAGAGTCACATGTTTGATGTTGTGTGGTGTTAGCGTAGCTGGAGCTCCATGCTTCACTAGAGGCGTTTCGCCACAGGGCTATGGGATCGAGGGCAAAGCAAACTCATTCAAGAGAGCAAAACATAATGAACCAATCAGGATCGCCGGTGTAATGTCGGTTTGCACCGCTTTCTCGAAATACGCTGTCTCAGCTGTTTATGATGAAATGCAAACCTGCCCCAGCGCGTCTCATAGAAGCCGAAGAAAACCAAGATGGCCGACATAAAGTCCGTGAATTTTTGAAAGTTTAAATACAAACAACATAAGACACAGATGTCACTTTTAATGTAATTTGAGGCGAGATGTTGATGGTTCCATGTTCTGATATCAGTAACTGCTCCTGTCAATCACGCTACGCAGCGAGAGTCGTGTGCTTCGATGTGAGTCATTCAAGATAACAGACAATATTACAACAACCGTACACCACACAGGATGAGAGCCTTTGGACTCCAAAACAGACAAGATTTACATGGTTTTCAACGGGAGCAAAACTGAGTTGTCCCATCTCTGCTCATTCATCTCCTACAAGCCAGGTTCATGAAACCCAAGAATTGTAGCAGTAGCAGCAGCAGGGGAATGTTTGCATGTTTTTAATGCAAGAGAATGCACTTCTTTTTCCCTGAAGTTTTATTTACAACTGTTAACGGACAACCTTGAAGAAAATAATATATCAATTATTCATATTCATTCAGGGATATGCTTGAGCTAATGAAATAAATTAAAAATGCTAAATTGTAGTGAAAGAATGTTGAACAAAAGGTTGTTGACATTAGACCCACACACAAAGCACTTGTATCTAACCAGGAGGTTAAATACAAGGTTTTAGAGGTGTATCATGACCGCAAAAAAGAGTAGCTCTGTGCCTCTTCTGTTGTGTGAAAGTAGATCTCCAATGGAAAAAGGTTGGAGACCCCTTGTGTAGCCAATGCGTCTCTGAGCGCTCGGCCAGTGTGAGGAGAGTCCGAGAGCCTCTTGTCACTCGCTGCACCAGGAGTGACTTGCACCCATGCGAGCACCACAGTTGTTCACAGCGGTAAAAGTGACTACATTACCCAAACTTATGGGTAATGTAGTCTCTGCTCTCAGTGAGATGAAGTAGCAAGCGTGCAATGTGAAGGGCGCTCTGAAAAGCAGTGGCGCATCTGAATCATTATTTGTACAAATGAGCGTATCAGTCATAGACTAAGTACCTTGGCACACGGAGAGCTACTTTTGGAATAGCTGGTACTGCTTACCGGCCCACTTAAAGCTCTTGTAGTAGCAGAAGCAGTAGCAGTAACAGCAGCAGTAGTAGCAGCAGTGGTAGCACAGCAGCAGGAGTAGCAGCAGTAGCAGTAGCAGTAGCAGTAACAGCAGCAGCAGCAGCAGCAGTAGCACCAGCAGTAGCAGTAACAGCAGCAGCAGTAGCAGTAGCACCAGCAGTAACAGCAGCAGCAGTAGCAGTAGCACCAGCAGTAGCAGTAACAGCAGTAGCAGTAGCAGTAGCGGTGTGGTGCCCTCACCCTGGCCTGGTGTGCACTGATGTACCCCAGTATCTTCTCTGGTCTGATGTAGGCCTCTCCCCGTGCAGACAGCCACAGGTCCACAGCGCTGTGCCCAGAGACGGAGGCCTGAGACAGGGAGAAGACGTGCACGTGGTGGGGGGGCAGCTGAAGCAGGTCGCACACGGCTACGCTCACCCGGGAAAACAGGCTCTGGTCCAGGACTGGGCTAAACAGCTGCTCCTGCGTTACATCTGCAACAGAAGCAAAAAGAGAGAGACAGAGGGAGACAGACGGAGACAGAGAGAGACAGAGGGAGACAGAAGCAAAGAGAGCGAAACAGAGAGAGAAGAGGCATCAGGGAAGATGTAGAACAGATTTCTTTACTATCACATTCGACACCATTGCCAAACTACAACCAGCTAATTTGGCACAAATTCTTGACGTCATGACACCTAACTACAAAACCCGCCTTCCCCGATTGCTGATTGGTCGGAGGGATTCAACCGAGGAAACTGCAGCCACTAGGATCGGGCGAGGGAAGATGGGGTTGAGAGGCAGGACGAGCCACTGATGGGTTTGGACATGGAACTTTGACATTTCACTGTGAAAGACTTTTATGGCCTGTTCCACTGCTCCACTCCACTCTGCCTGCTTCACATCACAAACCACACATTTATTCTTGAGCTCCGAAGGGCAGACCACAGGCAGTGTCTGCATTTGAAGGCACTAACTTTCACCAATGTTCTTTCTTTATCAGACACACCCATGTCCTAAGCCTAAAGCCTGACGTGTGATTCAGCTTTATTGTCTTTGCAATTATCACTTTAGAGTTTAGCTGCTGGTAAAGAGCTCTGATTTTAGAGTAAATTTCCCAGTTCAGTTGATCTAGTAATGAGTAATGTAAGTAAGTAAGTAGTAAGTAAGCTTTTATTTATATACCGCCTTTTCACTGCACATCGGAGTCTCAAAGCGGTTTACAATTGTTGGGTGGGGGTGCCAGTACAGGAGGCACATGCCATACCTATTGTACATATTTTTAGTGGTAGGGGAAACCGGAGTACCCGGAGGAAACCTACGCAGACACGGGGAGAACATGCAAACTCCACTCAGAAAGGCCCTGGTCCAACCGGGATTTAAACCCAGGACCTTCTTGCTGAGAGGCGAGAGTGCTATCCACTCAGCCACCGTGCCGCCCGGTGTTTTAGTTGATTGTGTTTTAGTTTGTCCAAAGTCCAAAGGTTGTTGACCTGAGAAGCCAACACTTTTGTTTGTTGAAATCTGCTTTTTGGACCAGAGGGTGAAGCTTAACCATCGTGCCAACAGCAGGGTTAGGGTTAGGGTTAGGGCTAACCCTGAAGAGGGAAGTGTTGAGACAGCAGAGACAGAGGCTGAGGATGTGGAGCAGTGGTCTTCCTCTCTGCCTTTAAGAAAAAACTGAACATGTCGTTGTCTTTGTCCCGGTCACTGTAAAGAGACTGTGTCCTGCAGCAGAACAAAACTCACTGAGAATGCGGATAGCTGCAGCGCTGCTCAGAGCCTCTGGGGGGAGCTCTCGGACATCCACCCTCACACTGCAGCTCACGTCAGGCCAGGTGCCATCGGACACGCCCACATGGAGAAGGTACGAGCCAGGGGGCGTGGCCTCAGAGATGGACAGGACCCCAGAGCTCTGGTTCAGACTGAACATCCTGCACACAGGAACAGAGAGCTGTAAGTCAAATGTCAGAATATATCTTTATAGATATCACACATACAGTGGGGCAAAAAAGTATTTAGTCAGCCACCAATTGTGCAATTTCTCCCACTTATAATAATGACAGAGGTCTGTAATTTTCATCATAGGTACACATCAACTGTGAGAGACAGAATATGAAAAAAAAATCCAGGAATTCACATTGTAGGATTTTTAAAGAATTTATTTGTAAATTATGGTGGAAAATAAGTATTTGGTCAATCACAAAAATTCAACTCAATACTTTGTAATATAACCTTTGTTGGCAATAACAGGGGTCGAACAATTACTATAGGTCTTTACCAGGTTTGCACACACAGTAGCCGGTATTTTGGCCCATTCCTCCATGCAGATCCTCCACACAGACTTTTAACTCCCTCCACAGATTTTCAATGGGGTTGAGGTCTGGAGACTGGCTAGGCCACTCCAGGACTTTCAAATGCTTCTTACAGAGCCACTCCTTCGTTGCCCGGGCGGTGTGTTTGGGATCATTGTCATGCTGGAAGACCCAGCCACGTTTCATCTTCAAAGCTCTCACTGATGGAAGGAGGTTTTGGCTCAAAATCTCACATTACATGGCCCCATTCATTCTTTCCTTACGGATCAGTCGCCCTGTCCCCTTAGCAGAAAAACAGCCCCAAAGCATGACGTTTCCACCCCCATACATCACAGTAGGTATGGTGTTCTTGGGATGCAACTCAGTATTGAGTCGAGTTTATACCAAACAGTTCTACTTTGGTTTCATCTGACCACATGACATTCTCCCAATCCTCTGCTGTATCATCCATGTGCTCTCTAGCAAACTTCAGACGGGCCTGGACATGAACTGGCTTCAGCAGGGGGACACGTCTGGCACTGCAGGATTTGATTCCCCGTCGTCGTAGTGTGTTACTGATGGTAACCTTTGTTACTTTGGTCCCAGCTCTCTGCAGGTCATTCACCAGGTCCCCCGTGTGCTTCTGGGATATTTGAACACCGTTCTCATGATGATTTTGACCCCACGGGATGAGATCTTACGTGGAGCCCCAGATCGAGGGAGATTATCAGTGGTCTTGTATGTCTTCCATTTTCTGATAATTGCTCCCACAGTTGATTTGTTCACACTAAGCTGCTTGCCTATTGTAGATTCACTCTTCCCAGTCTGGTGCAGGTCTACAATTCTTTTCCTGGTGTCCTTCGACAGCTCTTTGGTCTTGGCCATAGTGGAGTTTGGAGTCTGACTGTTTGAGGCTGTGGACAGGTGTCTTAATACATTAGATACATCCTTACATCCATTAATACAGGTAACAAGTGGAGGACAGAAGAGCTTCTTAAAGAAGAAGTTACAGGTCTGTGAGAGCCAGAGATCTTCCTTGTTTGAAGTGACCAAATACTTATTTTCCACCATAATTTACAGATAAATTCTTTAAAAATCCTGCAATGTGAATTCCTGGATTTTTTTTTCACATTCTGTCTCTCACATTCTCTGCATGTAACCTCGCTAGCCAGGGTTACTTGAGTAGTAGCATTCCAACAGAGCCCTGTTCTTGCTTCTCGCCCACTTTCGCCTTGTTCCAGTAGCCCACTTCTCATCAAGCTGCTCTGGTTCCAGAGCACATGATGGAGACCTTGTATGGCCGGGCGGCGTCTGAGCCAGCATCTCATTGCTTTTTTGTGTCTTCATGGTTACCATTCTTGTGATAATTTTGACCCCACGGGGTGATATCTTGCGTGGAGCCCCAGATCGAGGGAGACTATCAGTGGTCTTGTATGTCTTACATTTTCTAATAATTACTCCGACAATTGATTTCTTCACACCGAGCTGCATATCTATTGTAGATTCAGTCTTCACAGCCTGGTGCAGGTCTACAAATTTGATTCTGGTGTCCTTTGACAGCCCTTTGGTCTTGGCCATAGTGGAGTTTGTGATTTTCAGGATTTTCTTTTCTCATTCTGTCTCTCATAGTTGAAGTTCACCTATGATGATCATTACATCCTTCATCTTTTTAAGTGGGAGGACTTGCACAATTGGTGGCAGACTAAATACTTTTTGCTCTACCATATCTCGAAATATACTAAAAATAATTACCAAACATTGAGTCGTATAACCTGTTTTATGGGATTTAAGCAGGTCTATAGCAGGTCTATAGCAGGTCTAAACAGCACTAAAGCAGGACTAAAGCAGGTCAAAAACAGGACTAAAGCAGGACTAAAGCAGTACTAAAGCAGGACTAAAGCAGGTCAAAAACAGGACTAAAGCAGGACTAAAGCAGGTCAAAAACAGGACTAAAGCAGGTCAAAAACAGGACTAAAGCAGGTCTAAAGCAGGACTAAAGCAGGTCAAAAACAGGACTAAAGCAGGTCAAAAACATGACTAAAGCAGGAATAAAGCAGTACTAAAGCAGGACTAAAGCAGGTCAAAAACAGGACTAAAGCAGGACTAAAGCAGGTCAAAAACAGGACTAAAGCAGGACTAAAGCAGTACCTGGCTGGGGTTCCCTGGAGGCTGTAGTGCTTATGTCCCCAATCGTCGGGGTCCGGAGCCTGGACTTTCCCCAGGACTGTGTTGGGGAGGAGGCCTGGACACACAGAGAAGAGTGAGGATATTTTCAGAATATTGTTACCAAAAACAAGACGGACAGAAGGACTGTTCTCATCCCTTTTGTATCGATGCAATCGTTTGCTGCTCATCAGATTGTCATTATTTGAAGTTAACTGTGTTTTCAATGTAACTAAAAGCTGTTGTGGCCTCCAGACTAAAGACTGGAGGCCTCAAACAGAGTTTCTGGAACATTCTGTTTCTGAGATAAATCAGATTTCTGTGTAGGAGGAAAATAATACATAGAGAACGCTAAGAGGGAGCTCGGAGTTCAGGATTGGGACAACAAGGAGAGATTATCTTAGTAACAATTATTGAAACAGGGAAATACATGTTTGAATGGAACTGGGTTTTCAAAATATGCAACAATCGCAATCACAGAACAACAACTCAATCATTTTCATTTATCAAAATGATCCGGGGAAAGACGGATCATACATTTTAATGGATTTTTCAGAATAGTCACTGGACATGACCAGGGAATTTGGTTTTGAAAAAGTCTCCTCAGTTTTACTGACTATCTTTCAGAGACAAACAGAACCAGCTCTGATCCACTGCTTCTTCTTAGTTATAGAATCATGATCCACATCCTCCTCCTCCTGCCTTCAAAAGCTCATATTTCATCTTTGAATCCTCCTTTTATTTTTAGCCTAATATCTCCAGGGCCTTAACTCTAATTAAAAACATTTATATTTGTCGGAATTTGAGGAAATCATTATCCCACTCCAGCGCTTGACACGGAGTGTTTTCTGCACGGATTTCACACTCGCACGGATTACAGTCTTGTGTGTGTGTGTGTGAGAGAGAGAGTGTGTATGTGCATGTATTTGTGTGTGTGTGTGTGTGTGAGAGAGAGAGTGTGTGTCAGTATGTGCATGTATTTGTGTGTGTGTGTGTGTGTGTGTGTGTGAGAGAGAGAGAGTGTGTGTGTCTGTATGTGCATGTATTTGTGTGTGTGTGTGAGTGTGTGTGTGTATTTACTGTATGTGTGTGAAAAGTAACTGTTGAAACAGAGGCTTCGAGGCGTTTGTTCAGCGAGGTCTGGGTTTGGGCCATGTTCTGTCCTGGTGTCTTTGGGTCGGGATTATGAAGATGAGACAAATATATACATTATTTAGAGCAAAGATAATTGAATCAGAGCTGGGAGTCTTTGGAAACTGCACTAAGCTTAAAGTCTACGCTGCAGTTTGTTTCATTATTAATCAAATTACTAATGATTAGGGATGCACCGATACTGCTACTGGTTTCGGGTCGATACCGTAGGCTTGTATAGGACCCGATTTCGGCAACCAATTTTTTAGAGAAAGCAAGCTAGCGCCAAGTGGACAAGATGTCGGCCGTATAGCAGTTTTTAAAGTAAACAAGAGTGACAAGATTAAAGCGGACTGTAGGTTGTTCAGAGTCAGAACTAAACATGGAGAGGCCGCATTTCAGTTTCATGCTGCTAAAATCTGGAACAATCTTCCTGAAGATGTGAGACAGGCCTCCTCTCTGACAATGTTTAAAACCAGGTTAAAGACAGTTCTGTTTATCTGTGCTACAACTGAGGGATTTTATATTTTTATCTTTCTTTTTAATGTTCTGTGATCATTTATGATTTTAGAGCTTTCTTGTCTTGTTCAGCACTTTGAGTTGCCTTGTGTATGAATTGTGCTATACAAATAAACTTGCTTTGCCTTGTGTTATAGTGTTAGAGTGTATTAGTGTGTGTGTTAGTGCGTGTATGTTAGTGTGTGTGTTAGAGTGTGTTAGTGTGTGTTAGTGTGTGTTAGTGCGTGTATGTTAGTGTGTGTGTTAGAGTGTGTTAGTGTGTGTGTGTGTGTGTTAGTGCGTGTATGTTAGTGTGTTAGTGTGTGTTAGTGCGTGTATGTTAGTGTGTGTGTTAGTGTGTGTTAGTGTATGTTAGTGTGTGTTAGTGCGTGTATGTTAGTGTGTGTGTTAGAGTGTGTTAGTGTGTGTGTGTGTGTGTGAGTGCGTGTATGTTAGTGTGTGTGTTAAGAGTGTGTTAGTGTGTGTGTGTGTATGTTAGTGTGTTAGTGCATATGTTAGTGTGTGTAAGTGTATGCTAGTGCGTGTATGTTAATGTGTGTTAGTGCGTGTATGTTAGTGTGTGTTAGTGCGTGTATGTTAGTGTGTGTTAGTGCGTGTATGTTAGTGTGTGTTAGTGTGTGTTAGTGCGTGTATGTTAGTGTGTGTTAGTGTGTGTTAGTGCGTGTATGAGCAGTAGAGATCCTCTCACAAACGGACGGGCTAAAAGAAACTTCAAGTGGAGAACCTTCAACCATTCATCCAGATGCACCCCATGGTAGTGGCAGTGCCCCTTCTGGTAAGTGTACCAGGTGGGGGATTACAGCCAGGCTGCTTGGTCCTCACCCTGGGAGTGTATATTGCTAATATATTTTTATTTCTCTCCCTAGAACGTGTAAGAAAGCCATGGTCTGCATCTGAGGTGAAGGCTGTGGAGAAGACCATGACACCTTTCATACAGACTGGAAAGGTCCCTGGGAAGTCTCACTGCCTGGCCTGGCCTGGCCTGGCCTGCATTAATGCCTCACCAGATGACCTTAGACATCGGACATGGAGTGGCATTAAATTCTATGTCAAAAATAGAATCACTGCAATTCGAAAACAAAATCTAAAATAAAATTCCTTTAAAATAGTTGTTTGGTTTCTATTGACTGTTTTGTATTACTTAAAGTAGTCCCAGTAAAAAAAGATTATGTCCATGGGTCCCATTCTGAACGGCCCTGTCAAAGGGACCCACCAGGTAACAAAAACGTGTATGTGTGTGTGTGCGTGTGTGTGCGTGTGTATGCGTGTGTGTGTGTGTGAAGAGGCACATGGCAGTATTCATTTAAGGCATCGGTTTTATATAGCGCTTTTTTGGACACTCAAAGACGCTTCACATGTGTCATTATTCTTTCACTCCATACACGGTGGTGATAAACTACTACTGTAGCCACAGCTGCCCTGGGGCACACTGACAGAAGCGAGGCAACCAGTATGTGCCAACGGCCCCTCTGACCACCACCAACCATTCACACACACACACCAGACTCATTCTAGGCAATGGGGGTGAAGTGTCTTGCCTAAGGACACAACGGCAGTTTGGCACTTTACAGCCGCAGCCGCCCCACTGTGGCTGGTGTTCCCAGAGGTTAAGTGTCTTGCCAAGGACACAACGACAGTAGTCAGTGGGAGTCGGTGGTGAAAGTCCTGAGCGGGGCTTGAACCCACGACCTTCTGGCTCAAAGGCCAACGCTCTACCAACTGAGCTACTGCCGCCCAATTTACTCCAATCACACTGGTGGCAAACGACTACAGTAGCCACAGCTGCCCTGGGGCACACTGACAGAAGTGTGTGTGTGTGGAGCTACTCTTTGGGACAAGTCACCAGATTAATTAAAAACATGTTCAAATTACTTTTAAAACACTATCTAAAAAGAAGTATCCACGGACAAAGTATGTGGAGAACCTCAAAACGACACACTGGGACAGAGGTGTAGGGTCAGAGTGTTTGGGTCTGTACCGGACTTGTGTGTGTTGTGTGTGTGTTGTGTTGTAAAAGTGAGAGGGGCAGGGACCAAATAACCCTTTTTTAAAGCTGTGCGTCGTGGATCCTGTTTATTTTAATGTAAATGTGTGTGCACTGGTTTGAAATAAATAAAAGACGTAATGAAGCTTCAGCCTTAAGACTATTCTTGCATGTTCCTTTCTATATACAGTAATCTCTTTTTGATCTTGGTGGAATATGCCAATGTTTACCGCCGTAACTTTAGACGTCAAAGTCGCAGAATGTCTATTTTCCCGACATTTTTCTTACACCTTAATCATGTATTTTTTTCTGCTATTCATGTTGTTAGTCCTCTATCGTCTTTACAGCGTGAAAAGGATTAGCACGGGCTTAACCACAAACAAAAACATAACGTAACAATGAGTGTCTTTGCTGTCGGAATCACTTCGACAAGATTGTTGTTCTAAGCTAGGGGTGTCCAAACCTTTTAGTCCTGATTCTAAAACTGTTTTGACTAGAATCAGGCTGTTTAAGGCTTTAGAATTAGCTCCATTAGCAGCTGAATGGGATTTTGCGACATAATCACAAACAAAAGTCAGTAAATACAAATAATGTGAACAACTTTACAACAAAGCATGACTACATTGGTGGAGCTTAAGTTGGCTGGATTAAAAAGATACAATCCTTCAGTTGTCTGCAGCTAAACAGGACTGTTTTTAACCAACAGAGTAGAAGCCTGTCTCACATTTTCAGAAAGACTGCTTCAGATTTGAGCTTGTTTAGCATGTTTAGTGCTGACTCTGGGGACAGCAGGAGGCCAGTCCCTGTGCAATGTGTGTTAGTGTGTGTTAGTGCGTGTATGTTAGTGTGTGTTAGTGCATGTTAGTGTGTGTTAGTGTGTGTATGTTAGTGTGTGTTAGTGTATGTTAGTGTGTGTTAGTGCGTGTATGCTAGTGTGTGTTAGTGCATGTTAGTGTGTGTTAGTGTGTGTTAGTGCGTGTATGTTAGTGTGTGTTAGTGCGTGTTAGTGCGTGTATATTAGTGTGTGTTAGTGTGTGTTAGTGCGTGTATGTTAGTGAGTGTTAGTGTGTGTTAGTGCGTGTATGTTAGTGTATGTTAGTGTGTTTTAATGCATGTATGTTAGTGTGTGTTAGTGCATGTTAGTGTGTGTGTTGGCGTGTGTGTAAGTGTATGTTAGTGTGTGTTAGTGTATGTTAGTGTGTGTCAGTGCATGTTAGTGTGTGTGTTGGCGTGTATGTTAGTGTGTGTTAGTGCATGTTAGTGTGTGTTAGTGCATGTTAGTGTGTGTTAGTGCGTGTATATTAGTGTGTGTTAGTGCATGTTAGTGTGTGTGTTGGCATGTGTGTAAGTGTATGTTAGTGTGTGTTTGTGTATGTTAGTGTGTGTCAGTGCATGTTAGTGTGTGTCAGTGCATGTTAGTGTGTGTGTTGGCGTGTGTGTTAGTGTGTGTTAGCGCGTGTGTGTTAGTGTGTGTTAGTGCATGTTAGTGTGTGTTAGTGCGTGTATATTAGTGTGTGTTAGTGCGTGTTAGTGCGTGTATGTTAGTGTGTGTTAGTGCATGTTAGTGTGTGTTAGTGCGTGTATATTAGTGTGTGTTAGTGCGTGTATGTTAGTGCATGTTAGTGTGTGTTAGTGTGTGTTAGTGCATGTTAGTGTGTGTGTTGGCGTGTGTGTAAGTGTATGTTAGAGTGCGTTAGTGTGTGTATGTTAGTGTGTGTTAGTGCATGTATGTTAGTGTGTGTATATTAGTGTGTGTGTTGGTGTGTGTGTAAGTGTATGTTACTGTAGAGTGTGTTAGTGCGTGTATGTTAGTGTGTGTGTTGAGAGTGTGTTAGTGTGCGTTAGTGTGTGTATGTTAGTGTGTGTTAGTGCATGTATGTTAGTGTGTGTATATTAGTGTGTGTGTTGGTGTGTGTGTAAGTGTATGTTAGAGTGTGTTAGTGCATGTATGTTAGTGTGTGTATATTAGTGTGTGTGTTGGTGTGTGTGTAAGTGTATGTTAGTGTGTGTGTTAAGAGTGTGTTAGTGTGCGTGTTAGTGTGTGTGTAAGTGTGTTAGTGCGTGTATATTAGCTTGCGTTAGTGCGTGTATGTTAGTGTGTGTGTTAAGAGTGTGTTAGTGTGCGTTGGTGTGTGTATGTTAGTGTGTGTTAGTGCATGTATGTTAGTGTGTGTGTTAGTGTGTGTGTAAGTGTGTTAGTGCGTGTATATTAGCTTGCGTTAGTGCGTGTATGTTAGTGTGTGTGTTAAGAGTGTGTTAGTGTGTTAGTGTGCGTTAGTAGCTCAGTTGGTAGAGCTTTGGCCTTTGAGCCAGAAGGTCGTGGGTTCAAGCCCCGCTCAAGACTTTCACCATCGACTCCCTCTGACTACTGTCGTTGTGTCCTTGGCAAGACACTTAACCTCTGGGAACAGCAGCCACAGTGGGGCGGCTGCGGCTGTAAAGTGCCAAACTGCCGTTGTGTCCTTAGGCAAGACACTTCACCCCCATTGCCTAGAATGAGTCTGGTGTGTGTATGAATGGTTGGTGGTGGTCGGAGGGGCCGATGGCGCATACTGGTTGCCTCGCTTCTGTCAGTGTGCCCCAGGGCAGCTGTGGCTACAGTGGTAGTTTATCACCACCGTGTATGGAGTGAATGAATAATGACACATGTGAAGCGTCTTTGAGTGTCCAGAAAAGCGCTATATAAAACTGATGCATTATTATTATTATTATTATTAGTGTGTGTGTGTTGGCGAATGTGACCCAGGAGGGTGCTGAACGTGAACGTCGGTAAAGAGTGATGCAGTCGTACCATCGTAGTTGTAGACCATGAAGGTGGTGAGTGCGGGCTGGTGCGGGTTGTCGTTGCGGTCGCCGACGGTCACGGTGAGTGTGTGTGTGGCGCTGAGGGAGGGCACGCCGCTGTCCTCCATGACCACCGCCAGCTCGTACTCACTCTGCCGCTCCCGGTCAAACATGCGCAGCGCCGTTAGCACCGCGCTGCCGTTACGGAGATCCGTCAGGTTGAAGCTGTCCGCGTCCGTCGTTAGCCGTAGCATCCGCAGCCTGAACGGGCCGCCATTTTCCCCCGCGTCCCGGTCTTTGACGTGAAGCAACACCGACGAACTGTTCATCCTTACGACCTGCGGAGCGCCTGTGTTTTCCCAAACTATCGGCCGGTAATCCACCTCAAACTCTGGGGCGTTATCGTTGACGTCCAGAACCGTTAGCATGACGATAGCGGAGCCGGTTAGCGCTGGCTCTCCCATGTCTTTAGCCAAAACGACAATGCGGTGTTGGCAGACTCTCTCTCGGTCCAATAGAGACGCTAGCACCACGCGCCCAGACTCATCGACGGAGAACTGAGCGTACGGATCGGACTCTGCGGCGATGTAGAAAGAAAAGCGTCCGTTTTGTCCCGAGTCCAGGTCTGAGGCAGTGACCTGGGCCACGATGGAGCCCAGGGGAGAATCCTCGTAAATGGGGGAGGCTTCGTAAAACTGTGGCAGGAAGAGTGGCGCGTTGTCGTTAGCGTCACGGACCTGGAGCAAGCAGAAAGAGACGGTTCAGAAGAGAGCTAATGAGAGAAAAAAAGGTTCAAAAGAGAGCTAACTAAAGAGAGGTTCAGGAGAGAGCAAACAAGAGAGAAGATTCAGAAGAGAGCTAATGAGAGAGTGTGTTTTTAGACCCTTGTGTGTTTTTAGCCTTGGTAAGACCAGGCTACTACTTATCTTAAAGCTGCACTAACTGACTTTGGGATTTTGAAGCCGTGGACTCGCTGGCCTCTCTCTCTCTGCTCCCCTCCCCGCACCCACGAAGCTATCGCCCCCCACACACACTCACTGTTGGGACGGAGCTAGTGTCTCCATCCATCCATCCATCCATTTTCTTCCGCTTTATCCGTTGCCGGGTCGCGGGGGCAGCAGTCTAAGCAGAGACGCCCAGACTTCCCTATCCACACACACTTCCTCCAGCTCGTCCGGGGGGACCCCAAGGCGTTCCCAGGCCAGCTGAGAGACATAGTCCCTCCAGCGTGTCCTGGGTCTTCCGCGGGGCCTCCTCCCGGTGGGACGTGCCCGGAACACCTCCCCAGGGAGGCGTCCAGGAGGCATCCGGAACAGATGCCCGAGCCACCTCAACTGGTTCCTCTCGACGTGGAGAAGCAGCGGTTCTACTCCGAGCTCCTCCCGTGTGACTGAGCTCCTCACCCTATCTCTAAGGGAGCGCCCAGCCACTCTGCAGAGGAAGCTCATTTCGACCGCTTGTATCCGCGATCTCGTTCTTTCGGTCATTACCCAAAGCTCATGACCATAGGTGAGGGAGGGAACGAAGATTGACCGGTAAATCGAGAGCTTTGCCTTTCGGCTCAGCTCCCTCTTCACCACAACGGTCCGATACAGCGACCGCATAACTGCGCACGCTGCACCGATCCGCCTGTCAATCTCACGCTCCATTCTTCCCCCACTCGTGAACAAGACCCCGAGATACTTGAACTCCTCCACTTGAGGAAGGACCTCTCCACCCACCTGCAGAGGGCAAGGCACCTTTTTCCGGTCGAGCACCATGGCCTCGGATTTGGAGGTGCTGATTCTCATCCCAGCCGCTTCACACTCGGCTGCAAACCGTCCCAGTGCATGCTGCAGGTCCTGGTTCGTTGGAGCCAACAGGACAACATCGTCCGCAAACAGCAGAGATGAAATCCTGTGGTCTCCGAACCGGACCCCCTCCGACCCCTGGCTGCGCCTAGATATTCTGTCCATAAATACAGTGAACAGAACCGGTGACAAAGGTCAGCCCTGTCGGAGGCCAACATTCACCGGGAACAGGTCTGACTTACTGCCGGCAATGCGAACACAGCTCTGGCTCCGGTCATACAGGGATCGGATGGCCCTCAGCAGAGGACCTCCGACCCCGTACTCCCGGAGAACCCCCCAAAGGACACCCCGGGGAACACAGTCGAACGCCTTCTCCAAATCCACAAAGCACATGTGGACAGGTTGGGCGAACTCCCATGAACCCTCGAGTATCCGATGGAGAGTATAGAGCTGGTCCAGTGTTCCGCGACCGGGACGAAAACCACACTGCTCCTCCTGGATCCGAGATTCGACCATCGGCCGTAACCTCCTCTCCAGTACCTTGGAGTAGACCTTACCGGGGAGGCTGAGGAGTGTGATCCCACGATAATTGGAACACACCCTCCGGTCCCCCTTCTTGTAGAGAGGGACCACCACCCCGGTCTGCCACTCCATTGGCACTGCCCCCGATCGCCACGCGATGTTGCAGAGACGTGTCAGCCAAGACAGTCCTACAACATCCAGAGACTTTAGATAATCAGGGCGGATCTCATCCACACCCGGAGCCTTGCCACCATGGAGGCTACCAACCACCTTGGTGACCTCAGCCAGGGAGATGGATGTACCCGCCCCAACATCCTCAGCCTCTGCCTCTGTAACAGAGGACGTGACGGGGGGATTGAGGAGAACCTCAAAGTATTCCTTCCACCGCCCGACGATATCCCCAGTCGAGGTCAGCAGCTCTCCACCCGTACCGTACACGGTGTTGGCAAAGAACTGCTTCCCCCTCCTGAGGCGCCGGATGGTTTGCCAGAATCTCTTCGAGGCCGACCGATAGTCATGCTCCATGGACTCTCCGAACTCCTCCCAGTCCCGGGTTTTTGCCTCCGCAACAGCCCGGGCCGCGGCACGCCTGGCCTGCCGGTACTGGACAGCTGCCTCAGGAGTCCCCCGAACCATCATGGCTCGATAGGACTCCTTCTTCAGCCTGACAGCATCCCTTACTGCCGGTGTCCACCACCGGGTTCGGGGGTTGCCGCCGGGACCAGCACCAGAGACCTTGCGACCACAGCTACGAGCCGCCGCATCGGCGATTGAGGCAGAGAACATGGTCCACTCGGACTCCATGTCCCCCTCCTCCGCCGGGACCTGGGAGAAACTCTCCCGGAAGTGTGAGTTGAAAGTCCGTCTGACAGGGGGCTCAGCGAGACGTTCCCAGCAGACCCTCACTATACGCTTGGGTCTGCCAGGTCTGACCGGCTTCTTCCCCTGCCAGCGGATCCAACTCACGACCAGGTGATGATCGGTTGACAGCTCCGCCCCTCTCTTTACCCGAGTGTCCGAGACACGCGGTCGAAGGTCAGATGATACGACAACAAAGTCGATCATCGACCTCCGGCCTAGGGTGTCCTGGTGCCACGTGCACTGGTGGACACCCTTGTGCTCGAACATGGTGTTCGTGATGGACAAACCGTGACTGGCACAGAAGTCCAACAACTGAACACCGCTCGGGTTCAGATCAGGGGGGCCGTTCTTCCCGATCACCCCTCTCCAAGTGTCACTGGCGTTTCCCACATGGGCGTTGAAGTCCCCCAGGAGAATAACGGAGTCCCCGGGCGGTGCACCGTCCAGTACCCCTCCCAAGGACTCCAAGAAGGCCGGGTACTCTACACTGCTGTTAGGCCCGTAGGCCGTCACAACAATGAGAGACTTGTCCCCCACCCGGAGGCGGAGGGACGCGACCCTCTCATTCACCGGGGAGAACTCCAACACGTGGCGGCTGAGATGGGGGGCAATGAGAATGGCCACCCCAGCTCGCCGCCTCTCCCCGCGGGAAACTCCAGAAAAGTGGAGCGTCCAACCCCTCTCAAGGAGTTGGGTTCCAGAGCCCAAGCTGTGTGTGGAGGTGAGGCCGACTATCTCTAGTCGGTATCGCTCAACCTCCCCCACGAGCTCGGGCTCCTTCCCCCCCAGTGAGGTGACGTTCCACGTCCCAAGAGCCAGATGTTGTGTGGGCGGACTGGGTCGCCGAGGTCTCCGCCTTCGACTGCCGCCCAGTCCTCTCAGCACCGCTTCACCACGGACCCCTCTGCAGGTGATGGGCCCACAGGAGGGACTGCCCACGTCATCTCTTCGGGCTGAGCCCGGCCGGGCCCCGTGGGCTAAGGCCCGGCCAACAGGCGCTCGCATACGGGCCCCGACCCCAGGCCTGGCTCCAGGGTGGGGCCCCGGCTGCGCCATGCCGGGCGACGTCACTGTTTTCATATTAGTGTTGTCCATATTGGGAGACTAGTGTCTCCCAATATGGATAATACATGAATATGGATTTGCACGTGGATGGCGTGACCATAAAACGATAGAACCGGGACGCGCGGAGGAATGGGACTTTCTTTTGGATGGCTGTCTCGCTAAGTAAGCAGTAACCGGTGATGAAGACACGAAGCTTCAGGTTAGCTCCTCGGCTTGTTGTGCTAACTCAGCCGTCTGTGCAGGGACCTGTAGATTTCTCACGAAAGTGGGGGCCAGTGGTCCGTTGTGATTGGTCACAATCTGCGACCCGAAACACATTCTCTTCCTTGTTTCATCAAAACTCGATCTAAAATATAATGTCACGCCAGCACAAATCTGCGCTAATTATTCTTCAAGAGGACGTATATCCCAATGCACTACATGGACATGGATAGCATTTTCGTAATGAATACGAAAATAAAGTCAGTTAGTGCAGCTTTAATGTAGAGGAGAAGTTTCTTAGATGCTGCTCCCTAAGTCTCAGATGTAAATGTGTGAATCTGTGACTGACATCAGAGAGAAACAGAGTCGGGTCCAAACCAGAGCATGACTAAATAATCCTGTAAACAACTCCCTGTGCTCAGGACTGTGCCTCAGAAGCAGCCGTTTGAGCAGAGAGTTCCAGCAGCTCATCAACAATCACTTTTATTCACAATCTTTGGCCAAAGCTTGTGACTGTAGATGACGAAAAACAGATTGAGCGGTAACAGAAACAGGTCTAATTATGAACCAAAGTTGCTCTGTACCATGGCTCTTGTACCAGTAGTAAATCAGGTCTTGTACCTGTAGTAAAGCAGGTCTTGTACCTGTAGTAAAGAAGGTCTTGTACCTGTAGTAAAGCAGGTCTTGTACCTGTAGTAAAGCAGCGGTTGTACCTGTAGTAAAGCAGGTTTTGTGCCTGTAGTAATGCAGGTCTTGTACCTGTAGTAAAGCAGGTCTTGTGCCTGTAGTAAAGCAGGTCTTGTACCTGTAGTAAAGCAGGTCTTGTACCTGTAGTAAAGCAGGTCTTGTACCTGTAGTAAAGCAGCGGTTGTACCTGTAGTAATGCAGGTCTTGTACCTGTAGTAAAGCAGGTCTTGTGCCTGTAGTAAAGCAGGTTTTGTGCCTGTAGTAAAGCAGGTTTTGTGCCTGTAGTAAAGCAGGTCTTGTACCTGTAGTAAAGCAGCGGTTGTACCTGTAGTAATGCAGGTCTTGTACCTGTAGTAATGCAGGTCTTGTGCCTGTAGTAAAGCAGGTATTGTACCTGTAGTAAAGCAGGTCTTGTACCTGTAGTAAAGCAGGTCTTGTACCTGTAGTAAAGCAGGTCTTGTGCCTGTAGTAAAGCAGCGGTTGTACCTGTAGTAATGCAGGTCTTGTACCTGTAGTAATGCAGGTCTTGTGCCTGTAGTAAAGCAGGTCTTGTACCTGTAGTAAAGCAGGTCTTGTACCTGTAGTAAAGCAGCGGTTGTACCTGTAGTAATGCAGGTCTTGTACCTGTAGTAAAGCAGGTTTTGTGCCTGTAGTAAAGCAGGTCTTGTACCTGTAGTAAAGCAGGTTTTGTGCCTGTAGTAAAGCAGGTCTTGTACCTGTAGTAAATCAGGTCTTGTACCTGTAGTAAAGCAGGTCTTGTGCCTGTAGTAAAGCAGGTCTTGTACCTGTAGTAAAGCAGGTCTTGTGCCTGTAGTAAAGCAGGTCTTGTACCTGTGGTAAAGCAGGTCTTGTGCCTGTAGTAAAGCAGGTCGTGTACCTGTAGTAAAGCAGTGGTTGTACCTGTAGTAAAGCAGGTCTTGTACCTGTAGTAAAGCAGGTCTTGTACCTGTAGTAAAGCAAGTCTTGTGCCTGTAGTAAAGCAGGTCTTGTACCTGTAGTAAAGCAGGTCTTGTGCCTGTAGTAAAGCAGGTCGTGTACCTGTAGTAAAGCAGGTCTTGTGCCTGTAGTAAAGCAGGTCGTGTACCTGTAGTAAAGCAGCGGTTGTACCTGTAGTAAAGCAGGTCTTGTGCCTGTAGTAAAGCAGGTCTTGTACCTGTAGTAAAGCAGGTCTTGTGCCTGTAGTAAAGCAGGTCTTGTACCTGTAGTAAAGCAGGTCTTGTACCTTTATGCTGGCGTATGTGAGCGAGTACAGATCCGGGTCTTCTGCCTTCAGCGTCAGGTTAAAGCTCCTGTCCTGCTCTCTCTCATAATCCACCGTCTTCCTGAGTTTGAGGACGCCTCGCCCACTCGTCCTGTTGGTTTCCATGAAGAACCTGCGCTCAGGGTCTCCGTCCACCACGCTGAAGGTCACGGCAGCGTTCGGACCCGCGTCGGCGTCTGTGGCCGACACCACCAGGACCTCACTGTTCAGCTCCAGGTCCTCCCACACCTGAGGCACAGGGACGTTACTGTTTCATTTCACTTTCATCCAAACTATGTTCTGGAGTTTGCTGGATGTGAGTCTGAGCACAATCATAGTATTTTGTTTTGATTTACAGGTTTTAGAAGCATCCAGGAATGTGGGTCCTATGATTGAGCAATCACCACAGGATTTAAAGCTGGACTAACTCACTTTTAAGCGCTGCCCTCGCTCTTTCTGTTCCCCTCCCCGCACTCACGAAGCTTTCGCCGCCCACTCCTACCCACTCCCCCCCTCCCACCCTCCCACTCAAGTGCATGCACGTGTGCTGCGGTTTACGGAGCGGGATACGTCTCTTGTTTTGGCCCAAAAACAAATGGAAATGTCGCAGGTATTTTTTGTCCCTCAATAGATTTCATGCCCTGGAGCTAAAGTTGTCTTGTCAACCGCGCTTCCCGAAATAAATTCCACATTGCGCAAAAATTGTATCTAAAGTAAAATTACACTGTACAAACCAGAGCAACTTATTCTTTAAAAGGACGCATAACCCAATGCACTGCGTGGATATAGATTGAATTTTCCTAATGAATACAAAAATAAAGTGAGATAATCCAGCTTTAAGTGTCTGAGATAGTTCAGATCAGTCTCTGTGAGGAAGACCCTTAACTACATCTGTCGACCATCCATCTACTCCCCCTTTACATATCACAGGGACACAGAGGCCGCAGTCTGAGCAGAGACACTTCCCTCTCCACACATTTCTTGCAGGCGTTCCCAGCTAAGAGACACAGTTCCTCCATGTCCTCATGATTTGGAGAGGCCTACAGAACATTGGATGATGTGTCTGAAGTCAAACCCTGTTAGCTAACGGGAACAGTCCGATAAAGCGACGCACCACTGCAGCAATCCGTCAATAACACGCTCCACTCTCCCTTTGCTGCTCACACATGCTTCCATCAGCCCTTTGTAATCCTTACTTAGTCATAAAGAGCACAGCTGTCCTCCGACTCCACACAGAGATGGGAGTGGGTCGCTGTTCAGGAGGCACATGCCAGACCTATTGTACATGTTTTAGTTTATAGACCTATAGTACATGTTTAGTGGTAGGGGACACCGGAGCACCTGGAGGAAACCAATGTAGACGCAAGGAGAACATGCAAACTCTACACAGAAAGATCTGGTGGTGAAATCGAACACAGGACTATATTTGGTTAGCATTTTCACTTGCGTTAGTTGGAGTATTGGAGGCCGATACTGTAAGACGCCGTCCAGACTTTAGCCCGAGCTGCTGGGACCAGACTTTAGCCCCGAGCTGCTAGGACCAGACTTTAGCCCCGAGCTGCTGGGACCAGACTTTAGCCCCGAGCTGCTGGGACCAGACTTTAGCCCCGAGCTGCTAGGACCAGACTTTAGCCCCGAGCTGCTAGGACCAGACTTTAGCCCCGAGCTGCTGGGACCAGACTTTAGCCCGAGCTGCTGGGACCAGACTTTAGCCCCGAGCTGCTGGGACCAGACTTTAGCCCGAGCTGCTGGGACCAGACTTTAGCCCCGAGCTGCTGGGACCAGACTTTAGCCCGAGCTGCTGGGACCAGACTTTAGCCCCGAGCTGCTGGGACCAGACTTTAGCCCCGAGCTGCTGGGACCAGACTTTAGCCCGAGCTGCTGGGACCAGACTTTAGCCCCGAGCTGCTGGGACCAGACCTCAGACTTTGAAGAGAATCTCAATAAACAGACTCAGATCAAACAGACTCAGATCAAAAACTCCTTGTGCCTCAGACTCGCACCTGAGCAGAGTAAGAGTCCTGCGTGAACACTGGAGCGTGGTCGTTCACGTCGGTCACCAGGATGGTGGCGGTGGCCGTGCCTCTGAGCCCGCCGCCGTCCCGCGCCTCCACCACCACCAGGAGACGCTGCTGCTGCTCCCGGTCCAGAGAGCGCAGCACCGTGCTGATGGCGCCCGTGCTGGCGTTGATGGCGAACAGCTGGAGGTTGAGGTGGTTGTGGACGTTGTGCAGGATGCTGTAGCGGATGGCGGCGTTGGAGCCCTCGTTGGGGTCGTCCAGGTCTGTGGCTCGCATCTCCATCACCGAGGTGTCGGCGGGAGAGTTCTCCGCCACCTGACCCACAAAGCAGCCGTCCTCCTCCAAGGCGCCGCACGGAAAGAAGGGCGCGTTGTCGTTTACGTCCTTAACTTCTAAAACCACGTCTGCGAAACCAGTGAGTCCTGCGCCTCCCTCATCTGTGGCCAGGACCAGGAACCTGCACACACATAATGATCAACAGTCTGCTTTAGCTGAGGGGGCAGCGCTTCAGATTCATGCAGCTAACATCTGGAACTGTCTTCCTGAAGATGTGAGACAGGCCTTTTTACTCTGACAGTATCTTCACTCTTTTTAATGTACTTGGGTTATTTATGATTTGAATGCTTTGTGTGCACAACTGTCTCTCTGTTTCTTTGTCTCTCTCTGTTTCTTTGTCTCTCTCTGTTTCTCTGTCTTGCTCTGTTTCTCTGTCTCTCTCTGTCTCTCTCTGTCTCTCTCTGTCTCTCTCTGTCTCTCTCTGTCTCTCTCTGTCTCTCTTCCCTGGGCTTTCCCGCCGGCTCTTTGAACTGTGTGGACTTCCAGCTGGTTGTGATATACAGATAAATGTGAGTAACCTCCAGACGGGGCGCTGCTCTCGGTCCAGGCGCCGCAGAGCGTGGATGGAGCCTGTGTGGGCGTTGATGGAGAACTCTCCTCCAGATCCCTGACCGTGGAGCGAGTACCGCAGCTGGGACTGGTCCGAGTTCAGGTCTGGGTCCACGGCTGACACCTGGACAAACCCAAGCACCAATATAAACACCAGAATAAAGACATTATAAACATCCATTGTTTTACACCATCATCATCCACTAATGTTTTGTGTTAAAGTCACAGACACATGACAGCGTCTGCAGTTCTCAAGTGCAGTGAACTGTGGGCTCTCCACAGGAACCACTGGTACTAATTCACCTGAACTCATATATAAACTGTTTCAAAAGCATACACCACAATCACTACCACAACCCCCATTGTCAGACCTGGTTTAGACCTGGTTTAGTCCTGGTTCAGACCTGGTTTAGTCCTGTATTAGTCCTGACACTATGCTCTGTAGTTAAGAGATGTTCATCTTATTCTCTCACACGACACATGTGTCCTAGTCACAGAAAAAAACTTTCAATTTGAGCGATTTGCTAAAGTCTTTCTCTTCTCTCCTCACTCTGAGTACTGCCCCCTGCTGGTGAGGACATTTAAATACTCTCATATGGGGGTACTGTAGCATCCGAACGTATTGCTTGATTTTAGTATTGATGTTCTCATTCCACTGAATACTCAAAAAGACTAATTATCACAACCCCACTTCAGTATTGAGAAAACCAACATTCTGTCGGATTTTAACTTTAAAGGTTTAATATCTTCACAGATGAACATGGCTGTCCCAAGACTAAATCCAGCAGAATGATAGTCATGGTTCACTGCTGCTTCCGCTCAGGGTGAAATGGGAGCGAAACCACTTCAAAGACCTCCGTAAACAGGTTTGAGGTTATTTAAGATATGCACTCTCTAAAACTGAGGCACAGTGTATCTGTGGAGCTGGAAGAACATCACTTGCTGCTGCTGTCCCTGTGAAGAGGGGAAGTGTCTGTGGTCAGATGTGACATTAGCTAACCTACATCAGGTGCTCTCTCACCTGCAGCAGGCGCAGTACCCTCTCTCACCTGCAGCAGCAGCAGTGGCAGTGTTGCGCTCTCCTCCAGCACAGAGGCCTGGTACAGGGCCTGGCTGAACACCGGAGCCTCGTCGTTGCGGTTGATGATGGTGATGATCAGCAGCGTGTCGTTGGCCCACTTCCCGTCAGACGCCACCAGCCGCAGCTCCAGACGCTGCTGCGTCTCAAAGTCCAGGTTCTGTGCCACGAAGACCCGTCCCACCTGAGGATCCACGCCAAACCAGCCCAGAGCCGGGTCCCGAGCCAGGCTGGTCCCAGACGAAAGCTGATACCGCAGCTTAGCATTCGCTCCTGACAAACACACACAACACAGACACAAACACACACACACAGGATACAAATTAACGGTACAGTCAGTAGTTTTTACGCCCATCAAGTGCTATTACGGCTACAGTCGCCGTTAACCGCACGCTGAGGGTGAAATATCAACTAAAGTCCCTCAACCTCTTTCTGAACAGTATTATTAAAAAGGTCAAATTTGTTCATTTTTTTTTCATTTCATTTCATTTTCAACCCCTTTATTAGTCCATTTCTGGGTCGGGGGGGTGGCAATGAGAGCTGCCACCCAATGCTCATAGCACCAGTCCCTCACTGATCTTCTGCAGGGGGTGAGTCCACAGGAAGATGGCTGCTCCATCAATTGAGAAACTGCCTTGATCTTTCAGCGGGGAGCTTCAGGCAACGTGGGGTTAAGTGTCTTGCCCAAGGACACAACGACAGCAGTCATCAGTGGGAGCAGTTGGAGTAGGTCCCATGGTGGGAATCGAACTCACGACCTCCAGGCCCAAAGGCCAATGCTCTACCAACTGAGCTACTGTCACCCCTCAAATTTGTTATTGGTTAAAATGTTTTTGAATGTAGAACTGTAAAAATTACTGAGTGAGACACATTCAACTCAAACACGATCCCTTTGGTGGCGAAGGCAAAGCTCTCACAATCAAAGAGCCAATCAGGAGCCGGCCTGTTCCCACTACTCGCTGCTGAAGCTGAGTTTGGGGACAGAAGGCTCCTGATTGGTCAGGTATTAGGGCTCAAATCTGGATTCAGGAAGTCAACATAGTTCAGACAGCGCATCCTCAGGAAAAAGAACAGGTCAAAGTAAACAGTAACAAGGTGTGAGCAGTTTGTAACATTTATAACGTGAGCCACAGGAGAACAAACTGTAGCAGATGTTTGTGTCCTTTGTACCATCCATAATACTTCTAAACTGATCATTTAAGTATTTCTTTCTTTCCTCCAAATGAAATGTGAATAGAGACAACATGGTCATTACTTGATCATGAACCAAATGTGATATTCTGAATGGTGAGCACCTACAAGGTAGATCAAGGCTCAATAAGTAAATCTTGGTTTGATTAAGTCTGGACACCCCAGTTCTAAAGCAATAACAAAATCAGAGCCTATAGCCTATATTAGACAATCCAAATACTTTCTTTTTGGAGGGGATTGGGTTAATATAAGCTTTTTGCTAAAACAAGAGACATTTAGAACAGGGAAACATGTGCAATTCATTTCGATTAAATATTTTAATCGTTGGACAGCACTATTTTAAACTAATTGTTTCTCCAATTATGGGACACTGTACTTTCATGTACAGTAATTGTAAGTAATTTTTAACAATACTATATTTAAAATAGTCCCTCTTGCGACACAACTACAACCAGAAAGGTTGTTTATAAAACAGAAGCCTCAGGGATTTGAATTAATTTTGACAAATCAGGAGGAGGCTGGACCATGGGGCGGTCGAACCAGTGCTTTACTTCAGAGGCTTCCACTGTGTCTTCTTAGTTTGAAAAGTAACTGACATAAACTTTAATTTGAGTGATTTGAAAACAATGTTCAGGCAATAACATCTATAATCCAGAGCAGAGAGAATGAACCAAACAGACTCTGCCGACATTAACCAGAGGAAGCAGCTTATCCCCAGCGGCTGCACCACCTGCTGCTGCTGCACTTTACTACTATTGTTAGTCACTTTTAGAATCATGTATTTGTGTGTTTGTTTGGGTGCGTTTCTGCTGCTGGACACCAGACTTTCTCCTACAGGGATCAATAAAGTCTATGATGATGTCACATGTCACAGTCCAAGGTCACACAAAGTGCTTAGTCCTAGTATTTTGGATACGATCATTGCAGACGCTTTTCAAAACAATGTGTTGTTTTACCATCGTCCTGGTCGGTGGCCGTCACCGTGATGAGGGAAAAGCCCACCTCCTGGTCCTCCTCCACGCTCACTTCATACACAGGTTTCTCAAACTGAGGTGCGTTATCGTTCACGTCTGCCACGAACACGCGCACATACGCCGTGTCTGCAAAACATGAAACACACCACTGACCACAGAAAACTAGATTATAATGGTTCAGTTTTCTCAATGTTTTTAAAAACCCATTAATATCTCCTGTTGCATCTTCAAAGTCAGTGTCCAATGACATCTACATCATAGTACTGTAAACACTGAACCCAAATCTTAATTCAAAATAATTCATCAAAATGCTCTACATGCTCTCCATGGCCTTGGTTCTGCTTCAATCAAACCTCTAACAATTTGTTCAGAAAAAACAGACACAAACCCATATTTGTTCAAAATACCTACTGTATGTCTTGAAAAAGGAAATAAACAAAAACATAGAATCAGATAATAAGTCTCTCTGCGTCTGCCTCAATCTATTTTCATCCCAAAATACAAGGAAAAAAGCTGACCCCCAACGAGAGCCGATCAACTGCTGGAAACCACAGAAAAACAGGTTTAGCCCAGTGGGGGCGGGCCCCGGCTAGAAGTGGCCAAAATGACGTGCGCTGACATGCTGCAATACCACCCCTGGCCGATGGGGGTGGACCCGGAATAAAAATTAGCCAATGCAAGCATATAGCATCTTCTTACCTCTCGAAAACACCTTTACAGAATGGTCCGTTCCACATGTGTGTCAATGCTGAGGGGAGAGATTTTTTTTAGACCAGTCTAGTTTACTGGTCTAAAAAGAAGAAGCTTGCGGACATTTTCCTATTTCTTAAAATTGTATTATTGTTATTGCTGTGTGCCTTTGCAGTGTTTTTTTGTACATTTGCACTAATAACAGTCTTATTTGTTATTATTATTTATGTTATAATTTATTTTATTATGTTGTGCATGTTTACATGCTGGAAACAGTACTTTGAATGCACACGTTGTTTTGCAGTGTTTTGTGTCCCTTTGCACTAAGAAAAGTATGACTCTTATGATCATTTTTGCCTATGCTGTGCATGTTTACATGCTGGAAACAGTACTTTGAATGCACACGTTGTTTTGCAGTGTTTTGTGTCCCTTTGCACTAAGAAAAGTATGACTCTTATTATCATTTTTACCTATGTTGGGCATGTTTACATGCTGGAAACAGTACTTTGACTGCACACGTTTGTAACAAAAAAAATATTCATTTCTCAATAAATATTGGTAAACCATATCAAGTTGTTTCATGCATTTATTTAAAAATTAAAGATACAGTAAAGAATAAGGTACTCAAACAACACTTTTGCACATGTTCGTTAAGGCACAGCAAACAATGACAATCTTATCCAAAGGCATTAGGTTTTCACCCTCACATTTGACAAGCATGTGCACAGGTACAGTTGAGTGTAAGAATTTGAATTTGTTGCGCACAACACCGATCACCCTCTCCACGTGAATTCTGAGATGTGCTATGGCCCTAGTCTCCTCCACATCTTTCGCCTCAAGCTGAGCACGACCCCTGGTGAATGTAGGTATTTTCACTTCAGCACACATCATGCCCACATGTTCTCTTATATTAAAGCCTCTATCTGCCAGCACAATGTCACCTGGTAACAGCTTGTTCAGGAAACCACTTTGCTCGGTTATATGCTTGTCGCTTGTGCGCCCACCCCACCCGTTCGATATGAAGGAAATTACACCCTGGGGCGTGATCACGATTAGGTATTTCATAGTGTATGCGTGTTTGTATTGAGAAAAAGTCTGTGCCCTTGCTAGTACATTGGAAGGTTTCTCGATGAACACCTCGAAGCAGTCCACAATGGCAGCCACATTGTTCCCAAATGACTCCACAAACTGGTGTGGCATACTGGTCAATAAGCATTCCCTACTTGGCCAGTGCACCAATGGACACAGCTGTGCGTACATCACACCAAGGGTATGGTGAAAGGCATCGGCGACTGTTGTCCTATGTACTCTAAACAGATGGCTGAGGTGCTGTATTGGAAGGTCCAGTCTGAGGCGCATTAAAGTCAATAGGACAAGCTGGAAGGGTGAGAGCTTCTTCATTCTACCTTGAGGCAGATCTGGAGTTAGGTAGAGTAGAAGTGTCTGGAACAATGCAAAGTTTGGAAGCCCCGTGTAATACTTCACTGTGTTATTCATCACCACTCAGAAAGTTCTCATTCATCCGGTACGTATCAAGCTCACGCTTCAGCTGTCTGTTTTCTTCAAGAAGATTGTTGATAACATCTCGTCTAGATGTGCAGAGTCCACATTCCATGTCCGGGTCAGCTGGCGGCTGGTCTAGGGCTGGCGGCGGCGGCGCCTGCGGCTGGTCTAGGGCTGGCGGCGGCGGCGCCTGCGGCTGGTTTAGGGCTGGTGGCGGCGGCGCCTGCGGCTGGTCTAGGGCTGGTGGCGGCGGCGCCTGCGGCTGGTTTAGGGCTGGTGGCGGCGGCGCCTGCGGCTGGTCTAGGGCTGGTGGCGGCGGCGCCTGCGGCTGGTCTAGGGCTGGTGGCGGCTGCAGCTGGTCTAGGGCTGGTGGCGGCTGCAGCTGGTCTAGGGCTGGAGGCGGCGGCGCCTGCGGCTGGTGTTGGGCTGGAGGTGGCTGCCGCTCCAGTGGCAGGGACCTGCGCCTTACTTGCCGCTGATATCTCGCTTCATCTGTTTTTTGTACATCATTGTGGCCTAACAACAGGGATGGTGTCCAGTCAGGGTGGTTCTCCAACATCTCATATGCTGGTTTACCTACACGAGAATAATAACAACATATAATTAATATAATAATTTGCACAATCTATGTAATCAATGCTTTAAACTGGCAACTATGTCATGAACAGCATCTCAAGTACTTTTTAGGTCACCTCATAATGTCATATGAAGGTTTATGTACAACAGAATAATTAGATTATGTGTACAATCTATGTAATCTATGCTTTACACTGGCAAAGACCTCGCAGAACACGTGCTAAGTAAGAAACAGCCTGAGAGGGTAACAAAGACACAGAGACAAAGGCACTACAGAAACCATAATAACATATGCTAACCTACACTTCCTAGCTTTAAGAGACAACTACATAAATACATTTTTAGAGAACGTACCAGAGTGAAAATGCAGAGAACACACTCTCGTCGACAGGGGTGTGTGATCGAAAGTAAGGTCCTTTCTTCTAATTGCAGCCAACCAAGCAATCCGACGTCTCCTTGTCAGGTCAGAGAATTGCTCCCCTTGATGCTTTTTCCATTTCGGTAACCTAAAAAACTGTATCCCGTTGTTACTAGGTTTTCCATATCCATCGTGGGAGGTATTGGAGCAGTTTTTAACGCAGCAGTTATTTCCAGGCATGATAAAACAGTGCGGAATAGCAAGAACCTCCGCTACTACCGCGTTCACAACACACGTAAACAAACTGTACTGCCGCCACCGGTGCGCAGCCAATATGTCGGCAAAGGGGGGATGGGGAGGGGGGACTCTGTGCCGTGACGTCAACTCCTCATTCTCAATATAAGCCCTCCGCAGCTACGCAACGCTGCAGTTCTCTTTTGTTTTTATGAAGGTAAGGAGGGCTCCCGAGTGTAAAATAAGTTTATTTGTGTATAAATGTATGTTGGGTGCCAAATATTGATTGTGGGTTAGCATTTTGTCATTGTACTTTTAGGCTGTTTCTCTGTTAAACTTAAGTGGGAAAAATAACTTTGTATTTCGTTTTTAGAGTGCTAGCTTGCACGTGTCCTTGTTAGCATGTGGACTTTACAATTCAGCCTTTGAATGTACAATTTATTACTGCAAAAACAGATACAATTTCTTCTTAATGAGGCAGTTCTCTTTTGTTTTTATGAAGGCAATAAATGAGGAACGTCTGTTCAGCCTCTTCCACCATTGACTCCTGGTTTCCCTATCCGCACTGCTGGCCCCTGACCAGTAACACAAACAACACAACGCAGAGATCACACTTGGGGCTTGCCATCGCTGAACTAGGGTTACATCTTTGATGCCGTGACCCGGATGGTGGTTTATAAGAGGAAGAGCGGACAACTCTGTGGACTGTTAACGTCATAATAAGCTGTATCCTCAGTTTTCAGTTATATGCTCTTTATTACATTATTTTTTTTTCTCATTGTTGAATAGTGCTTTGTTATGTGATTGAATGCTATCTTGTGAATATTTCTGTAATATTGATTCATCGGTTTAAGAGATTGATATCACGTTATAATTAATCAACATGCAAAGTAATGTGCAAAACCTCCATGAAGATACTCCTCGACGCCCCATTCCCATGATTCCCCCTGCGGTGAGGCCAAAGTTATACCGCCAGCCAGACAGACCAGGTGGGGCAGAAGGAGAGATACAGACTTTGGACCAAACAGTTATTCTGATGAATCCGTCTGAGCACTCGGAGCAGTATGCCCAACAGCATGAGGCATTATCACCCTGGAATATGGCATATAATGCTCTGCCCACGCCTCCACAGTCTAACCCTCTTCACCTCAATCTGATGACTGGGGGAACCCCCATGCAGGTACCAGAACGCTCACACCACACACCCAGTTACCAATATCCCCAGGGCAGTTACGGTGGGCCAATGTTAACTGCTTTTGAAAAGTACCCACAAAACACAGGCATTATTATTCCGGGTAGTATGGCACCTCATGCCGCTGTTCTAAGCCAGCAACCAGTGAGGGTTAATAACACACCTGCTTCCCAAGCCTCTCTGCACGCTAATCAAACGTACCCATCCATCGCACAACCAGCTCCATACCACATGCAGGCCAGCGCCTATCCACATGAGTGTGCAGGGATCCAGGCGCCTCCTCCTTTCCAGCCCAGCCCAGCCAATTTCACTCAGTTTCATCAAGTAAAAAATGTGGCCATTTTCAGTGGTGGGGCAGACTGCAGAATACTGATTGAGGACTGGATCAGAGACATGCAGTATCTTTTAGATGCAGGTGCCCTACCATCCCACCTCAGTTTTGCAACCATTGTCAGGCATTTGAGTGGAGAGGCACGAAGGCTTGTTCTAAACCTCCCCCCAATAGAGCAAGTCCCGGGGAGGGCTTTTGATGAACTACGGTCAGAATATGGTGACATGCAGAGATCTCTGGATCCCCTGGCCGACTTTTATGAGAGAACCCAACGTTCAGGGGAGACAGCCTGTTCTTTTGCCATTGCTTTAGAGGCCACGCTCAGAGAAGTGGAAGACACCCAAAACAGGGGCCGACCATTCCCAGATCGTGATGCAAAACTGGTGCGACAGTTCATGAGGGGGTTGATTGAAGAGGATGTTTTTTTGAGGATTGCTCCCATGAAGCCGAGAATGCTATGCTTTCGGGAGCTACAGAACGAGCTCAGGAATATAGCCAGAGAAGCCAAGAAGTTCAACCAGCCGAGGCAGAAGAAGACTTTCAGCCAGGTCCAGACTGTCACAAATAGGCAAGTAAGTGGAGCAACTGAGAGAGCTGAAACGGGGAAGCAATCTTCTGAGTTACGTGAACTTACAGACCTCGTGAAAAGTATCGCACTGCATCAAGAAGAACAAAGTAAAAGGCTTGCTCAGTTGGAGACAAAGTTTACCCCTCCCACCTCACCATTCAAGCCGAATTTAGGGACCCAGAGACCCTAGCCGAAGAGCCACCATAGTGTGCCACCGCTGTGGCAGACCTGGACACTTGGCCAGGTCCTGTAGGGCGGTGCTACCTGAAAATGAGCCCTCTACCAGTGCTGGATCGTACGCCGCTGTCACATCGGATAGTGGCGCTATCACAGGTGGCCAGCCTTTAAACTCCTAAAGCCTGTGGTGACTGGGGCAACCATGGGCATGCATCTGATCCCCCAAAAGGAATTGGAAACCCCACTTGTCGGACCTTTAAATGAGGGACAGGTCGAAGTTAATGGAATGTCCTGTAAGGCGCTCATTGATTCTGGTTCTCAAGTGACCACCATCACAGACACTTTCTGGCGCTCACACCCTGAGCTGTGTATGCAGGAGATACAAGAGTCTAGCATCCCAATGGAGGGGGCTGGAGGCCATACTATTCCCCATTTTGGTTTTTTATACATAAATCTCAAGATTCCGGGGAAAGACTTTGCCAATGTGCCTGCTTTTGTTGTCCCGGTAACAGAGTACCGGTCTGGAGTTCCATTGTTAGTGGGTACTAATGTCATACGTGCCTCCAAAAGCCATTTTGAATCCCAATATGGAAAACAATTCCTGGTTATGGTACAGGAGAAGCACCCAGAATGGTACTCTGCCTTGACAGAGGTGAGTGGCACAAAACCTTGTGGTTTCGACGACCGCATTGGCCCTGCGGTTTATACTGGCAATAAAATGTGTGTCCCTGCAAGCAAAGAAATGAACGTGATGTGCCGGGTAAAAGGGGGGCCAAGAAAGAAAACGTACACTGCGCTGATTGAATGTAATGTAAATTCTCAGCTGCCAGAGGGCCTAGTAGTGGGCAGAGTGCTTGCCTATGTCAGGAAGGGCGTCGTTCCAGTCCGAGTAATGAACCTCTCTGTCCAGCCAGTGTTGATTAAACCACATACTTGTCTTGCAAATGTTTTTCTCGTTAGAGATGTGTTGCAGTGGAGTAATGAGGGGGAGTGCTCTGGGGATTCCAAGATGGAAACATGTCATATTCAAGATCAGATTGTGCAGGCGACTCAGAGCAGGGACACTGTCACATGTCCAGTGGATCTAAGTGGGGCTGCAGTGGAAAATGAGGAGCAGAGAGAAAGCTTGAGGCAACTATTGCTAAAGAACCGTGATGTATTCTCCCAACATTCCATGGATTTTGGGCACACAAAGACAGTACAACATGAAATCCCTCTGATTGATCCCAAGCCGTTCCGTCTCCCCTATCGGAAAATACCACCTGCTCAATGGCAAGATGTCCGCAATCTTTTAAAAGACATGGAAGACACCGGTGTCATCCGCCCAAGTAAGAGCCCGTATGCGTCACCCATTGTGGTTGTAGTTAAGAAGGATGGGACGTTAAGGATTTGCGTCGACTACAGGAGGCTGAATTCCTGCAGTACAAGGGACGCATTCCCTCTTCCTAGGATCGAAGACGCTCTGGAAGCTCTTGGACAAGCACAGTATTTTTCCACCTTGGACTTGACATCGGGGTATTGGCAGGTGGAGGTGGCAGAGCAGGATAAACATAAAACGGCTTTCACCACGCCTATGGGCCTCTTTGAAGCAAATCGTATGCCGTTTGGTTTACAGAATGCCCCATCAACATTCCAGAGGTTGATGACCTGCTGTTTTGGAGACTTGAACTACTCGCACCTCCTTATCTACCTTGATGACCTCATAATATTTTCCAAGGATTTTGAGGGACACCTGCAACGCCTGCAGTTGGTGTTTGATAGACTGCGTAAACATGGCCTTAAACTGAAACCCTCAAAATGCCACTTAATGAAAAAGGAGGTCCAATACTTGGGGCATCGGGTGTGTGCAGAAGGTATCCGCACTGACCCTGAAAAGATAAGCAAGGTGAAGGACTGGCCACAGCCAACAAACCGTAAGGAGGTCCTTCGTTTCCTGGGGTTTGCGGGGTACTACAGGAGGTTTGTGGAGAGCTATGCAAAGATTGCTGCACCCCTCTACCGCCTCACTTCTGGTGACCCCAGAAATAAAAAAAGGGGTACGAAAAGAACCACTGTACCTGACCCTCCCTTTCTATGGACTGATGAGTGTACAAGATCATTTACCACCCTGAAAGAAAAACTCACATCAGCTCCATTACTTGGATACCCGGACCACACACTGCCATTCGTGCTGCAGACTGATGCCTCCGGAGAAGGCTTGGGAGCGGTCCTGGCGCAAGTTCAGAATGGGGTCGAGAAGGTCATAGCTTATGCTAGTCGAGGTTTAAGTCCACCAGAAACCCGTTATCCAGCCCACAAGTTAGAGTTTTTAGCTCTAAAGTGGGCTGCGACTGAAAAGTTCTTCGACCATCTCTATGGACATAAGTTCTCTGTGCTGACGGATAACAACCCTTTGAAATATGTCATGTCCACTGCCAAGTTGGACGCCACTGGTCAGCGATGGGTATCACAGTTGTCAGGCTTTGATTTCGACATTCAGTATCGTCAGGGAAGGAATAATGCTAATGCAGATGCGCTCTCAAGAATGTCATGCAATGATGTGGCTAGGGCCCTGTCGTGCCCACAGAGGGTGGCAGAAGAGTCTGAGCCTCCTGTGCCCAGTCAAGAGTCAGAGCCCTACGCTGATACTGGTACTGAATGTCTCCCATCAATGACCAAGCAGGACATCCGGGCGGCTCAAAGGGAAGATCTTGTTGTGGGACCAGTGTTGAGCTACAAAGCAATTAATTCCAAACCAAGCAAAAGAGAGAGAGAGGCTTGGGGAGGACAGGCCTCCCTTCTCCTAAAAGAGTGGAGGAAGTTGGTTGTGAGAGATGGAAACTCTGTATCGCACAGTCCGGGACAGTCGTAAAGGAGTCATCAATCAGTTGGTCCTACCTCAGAATCTTCAGACAGGAGTGATGACTGCCCTGCACAATGAATCAGGGCACCTCGGGTTTGAAAGAACTTTTGCTCTCATAAGAGAACGTTTCTTCTGGCCAAGGATGTTTCAAGAGGTTAAGATGTGGTGTGAGCGTTGCGAGCGTTGCTGTCTTCGAAAGACTCCTGCTGGTCTCCATGCCCCGCTAGTCAGTATACATACCTCTGCCCCCATGGAGCTGGTGTGTATCGATTTCCTCACACTAGAGAAGTCTGTGGGTCAAATTGAGAATGTGCTTGTGGTGACAGACCATTTCTCCCGCTTTGCCCAAGCATACCCAACAAGGGACCAGAAGGCCTCCACAGTGGCTAAGGTGCTTTGGAGAAACTTCTTTTGCCGGTTTGGTTTCCCAGCAAGGCTTCATTCCGACCAAGGACGTAATTTTGAGAGTGCCATAGTTCGAGACCTTTGTAAAATCACAGGCATCACCAAACCCCACACCAGCCCATACCATCCTCAGGGAAATGGGATCACAGAAAGGTTCAATCGCACTCTCATGAATATGCTTGGCACGCTGGAACCTCCTCTGAAACCTCGTTGGAGCGAGTATGTTGATGCAATGACTCATGCATACAATTGCACTCAACATGATTCGACAGGCTACAGTCCCTACTATCTAATGTACGGCAGGCATCCAAGACTTCCTGTCGATCTGGTCTTTGGTCTAACATACGGCAGCAACCCCGGTGAATACAGCGATTATGTTCAGGACCTCAAAGACTGCCTAAAGCATGCTTACGCTCAAGCCAACATAAGCTCCAGACAAGCCAAGCTGCAGCAAAAGAAGCATTATGACAGCAGGGTCAAGAAAAGTCTTACATTTGCTCCAGGAGACAGAGTATTAGTCAAAGTCTGCGCCGTTGAAGGTCGGCAGAAGTTGGGGGACCGGTGGGAGTCCAAGCCTTACCTGGTCCTAAAGAAACAGCCTGGAGTCCCGGTTTATGTCATTCAGTCAGAAGATGGTGAAAAGCAAAGAGTGGTCCACGGAAACCTTCTTACCCAGTGCATGTTTTTTCCCTTGGAGTCTGAACTATCGGCAGATGAGGTGGAGGATGGAACTGAGGGTGTCAATGATTCAAGGATTGGCTCTGATGAGGATTGCGGGGAGGAGGATCCATTGGAGGATATGGAGGAAGAAGATAATGCACCAGTGGAGATTCAAAATACTGAAATGGGTATTTCTGAATGTGCTGTGGGTAGAAGAAACCCCCTAAGGAACAGGCAGCCACCCAAAAGACTGTCCTTTCAATTGAGAGCGATGCACGATGAAACAGTCCAGCAAAAGATTGCCCGAGGTCGCAAAATATGGCAAAGGGTCAAGGAGAAACGCAACTTTCTTAATAGAGAATAATACCCCCTCCAATTTTCTCTTATTCATTCAAAAGAGACTTTCACCCTGTATTTTATTTTGTTATTTTGTTGTTAAGATGTCTGAGACGCCATCAAACAAACTGGGGGTGGATGTAAGGATGTAATGTGTCCGTGCGCCAACAGAGGGCGCCCTTTGTTTTCTTAACTATATAAGCCCTCCGCAGCTACGCAACGCTGCAGTTCTCTTTTGTTTTTATGAAGGTAAGGAGGGCTCCCGAGTGTAAAATAAGTTTATTTGTGTATAAATGTATGTTGGGTGCCAAATATTGATTGTGGGTTAGCATTTTGTCATTGTACTTTTAGGCTGTTTCTCTGTTAAACTTAAGTGGGAAAAATAACTTTGTATTTCGTTTTTAGAGTGCTAGCTTGCACGTGTCCTTGTTAGCATGTGGACTTTACAATTCAGCCTTTGAATGTACAATTTATTACTGCAAAAACAGTTACAATTTCTTCTTAATGAGGCAGTTCTCTTTTGTTTTTATGAAGGCAATAAATGAGGAACGTCTGTTCAGCCTCTTCCACCATTGACTCCTGGTTTCCCTATCTGCTGCTGGCCCCTGACCAGTAACACAAACAACACAACGCAGAGATCACACTTGGGGCTTGCCATCGCTGAACTAGGGTTACACTTACTTTGCGTTGGACAATCAATAGATTTCGTCTCTATGACCGACAATGAGGAAGAGGAAAAAAACCATATTATTTTGTAATCTCAAACATGAAACGCCAAAGTAGATCATGTTTAAAGGGCCGACGACTCAGAAGTGTCTCCAAACCACTGAAATATTCTGTGACATCGATCCTTCTTTAATGATAAACGGAATGTAAGTGTACCGGTCTGGACCAAGCTCCGGCGATCCAAGATGGAGCTCTATTCAAATGATTGGTTTGTGCTCAGTTGTGCATGTGCTACATTAAGTTCTATGGGGAAAATTCTGGGTAGCCCACGTGAATTTTGCCTCATTTAGTCTACAGTACCGCGAGAATCCCGCAAGCACATGGATCCTTCAGCTCCCTGTCTAGATATTATAAAAGATCCATCTCTGGACACATACCAGTGTTGGGCAGTCCCTGTTGGCCAGGTCTGGCAGACTCGGTCCCGTCCTGGGACTGGACCTCCAGCAGGTATGAGGACTTCTGCTCGCGGTCGAAAGAGGCCCGTGTCAGGATGGATCCAGCCACTGGGTCGATCCAGAAAAACTGAGAGTCTCCACTGTCGTCCCCCAGGAGAGAGTATCGCACCTGAGGAGGAGGGTTGTGTCCAATGTGAATGTAACAAACACACATTTAAAGGACACATAGTCAGCATAGGTACCCTTTAAACATGTCACAAAGTTCCTCATCAACAGGCTTTTATTCTGTGCTCTTTTTTCAAACTAAATATGATCAATCCTCACACATCTTCCAACTGTGTGCCTTCAGATGTTTTTGTGTGATTTAGATGTACTGTAAATCAAGCAGAATGTATTTTCCCACTTCTACCTCATTCTAGTCATCTCTTAATGCATTTTGTATGTTTATCTACTGTGCGTATCTTCCACTGTAAGCGTTATTTAATACTTGTTTGTTGAAGCTCTTGAAACATACTACACTGTTTGTAGCTGCTTTAGAGCATTATTAGTGGCATCTTCACTGCAGCAGATGCTTCCAATGCCTGGAACCGTGCTCCATGTGACATCAATCACTGCACAGACAGCAGACTCACCACTCCGTGAGGTCCAGAGTCCAGGTCTGTGGCCGTCACCTGGACCACTGTGGTGCCGCCCTCTGCCCCTTCTGGCACCGTGGCCTCGTACGTGGACGACTGGAAGAACGGCACGTTGTCATTTACGTCTGGAGAACAAAAAGAAACCAAGGTTACCCACATTTGGAAATATAAAAGAGAAAGTTCAGCAGATGGTTTGGTAGGTAAGACTCAGGGAAGACAGAAATACAACTTTAATTCTAAAACCAAAGTCAGTGACGTTGCATGTGGAGCCCCCTGCTGGAGAAGTCGGGTAGCAGCACTGTCCTCTTCTACTTTATCTGTCATCATCATGACTGCTGTAGTCTGTTCATTGCTATTCACCCGCTGTCCCACTGTCTGTTTCATGGCGTGATGAGGGGACCCCTGAACCCGGCCTCCTCCATCTGCACCTGATCTACGGCCTCAGTCCTGGATCTACAGCCTCAGTCCTGGATCTACAGCCTCAGTCCTGGATCTACAGCCTCAGTCCTGGATCTACAGCGTCAGTCCTGGATCTACAGCCTCAGTCCTGGATCTACAGCCTCAGTCCTGGATCTACAGCCTCAGTCCTGGATCTACAGCCTCAGTCCTGGATCTACAGCCTCAGTCCTGGATCTACAGCCTCAGTCCTGGATCTACCGCCTCAGTCCTGGATCTACCGCCTCAGTCCTGGATCTACAGTCTCAGTCCTGGATCTACAGCGTCAGTCCTGGATCTACAGCGTCAGTCCTGGATCTACAGCGTCAGTACTGGATCTACAGTCTCAGTCCTGGATCTACAGCCTCAGTCCTGGATCTACAGCCTCAGTCCTGGATCTACAGCGTCAGTACTGGATCTACAGTCTCAGTCCTGGATCTACAGCCTCAGTCCTGGGTCTACAGCCTCAGTCCTGGGTCTACAGCCTCAGTCCTGGATCTATAGCCTCAGTCCTGGGTCTACAGCCTCAGTCCTGGATCTACAGCCTCAGTCCTGGATCTATAGCCTCAGTCCTGGGTCTACAGCCTCAGTCCTGGATCTACAGCCTGTCCGTCCGTGGGAGTGGTCCTCGAGGTTTCTCACTTTTTCCCACTGGGTTTAAGAGTTGTTCCTCTCTGATGCAGGAGGGTTTAAGGACAGTGATGATCCAGGACACACCACATTCCACAACATTCATGGACATTGGTCTCTGCCCTTTAGTCCTTCGAGAAAACTACGGGATATGCAAAACAAACTGAAATTGAACTGAACTGAATTGAACTGCTCCTCACCGGTGATGTTGACGTAGATGGTGGTGAAGGAGGCCAGAGGTACCGCGGCCACGTTCTGAACCCGGACCCTCAATGTGTAGAAGGAGGTGGTCTCGTAGTCCAGGTTCTCCGCCACCAGCACCGACGCAGAGCCGTCCGAGCGGTTGGGCTTCAGGTAGAAGTGCACCGGCAGGTTGGTCTCTGGGACCAGGCCCTCCTCCAGGTTATAGGTGACACGGGGGTCTCCCAATGGGGACGTGGCCCGGATGGTCTGAGAACACAAGAGGGTTCATGTTGGAATGTGCTCTGTGCTTCCTCTTGTTCTTCAATGTTCCTCTGGTTGATATAAAAAGCATGATTTAAAGCTGGATGACCTCACTTTGAAGAATCAGTAGCGCTGGTTTGTACTGGAGTGTAATTTTATTGTAGATACAATGTTTGTGCAACCTGGAAGAGAATTTACTTCGGGTCTCTCGTTAGCGTGCATAGACAGCTGAGGTAAACAAGCATCATGGCATTACCGGTTACTGCTTATACAGCAAAACAGCCATCCAAAAGAAAGTCCCTAGAAGAACAGAGCGAGGCCAAGCGTCTGACGGACCGGGAGAGAGGCTACTTTAGCACAAGGGCATGCAATCTAATGAGGAACAAAAAATACCTGCGACATTTCAATTTGTTTTTGGGCCAAAACAAGAGACGTATCCCGCTCTGCAAACAGTAGCACACAAGCATGCGCTTGATGGGAGGGGGAGCGAAAGCTTCATGAGTGCGTTATATTTGAAACTGCTGCTTCAAAGTCAAAAGTGAGTTAGTCCAGCTTTAACTCCAGAGGTTCTGCTGGAGCAGAAACATTCGATCAGCATTATTGGTTTACACATGGTTTCACAGTTAGCCTCACCCTCTGTTAACCTTATTAGCTCCTACATGGTTTCAATTACCATCAGTTCATGATAGTCAAAGCCCTGGCAATCCAAGATGGTTCCCTATTCAAGTCAATGGACAGTGGACAAGATCCCATGATTCTTTGTGCCAAATACGCGTGTGTGACTCCCATGCTCGTGCACAGAGGGGCTCGGGTGCGCTCTGACCAATCAGAGCAGGGCCATAACGGGAAACAATCAAGCAGAGTTTGTGGCACTAAAGTGTGGATTTATAGATAACCAAAGGTATTTAAGAAGAAAATAACCCCCAACAAAATCCAACCTTTATAAAACCTGCAGGTTCTCTGTCAGCTGAGGTTGTGCTGTTTTAGTTTACATTGAGTTCTATGGAACATTTTTCTGGGTAGCCCACGTGAATTTAGTCTTGTTTAGTCTGCAGTACCGCGAGAAACCCCTGAGCACTTGTGTCCTTCAGCTCCAAGCTAGTAATACCCTATCCTGTTATTATAATAGATCCAAGATTAATTCACAGTTACCATCAGTCCCAGTTAGCCTCATTAGCTCCCTCATGGTTTCAGTTAGCATCACTCTCTGTTAGCCTCATTAGCTCCCTCATGGTTTCAGTTAGCATCACTCTCTGTTAGCCTCATTAGCTCCCTCATGTTTGGGAGCACGGTAGGGTTGCCAACCGTCCCTTGAAATACGGAATTGTCCCGTATTATAGAAACACAATGTGCGTCCCGTATTGAATCGATGCGGGACGGCTTTTGTCCCGTATTTTCAGAGCCACCTTGAATGCATCACTCACTGCATGTCACACGCGCGACCATAGACTGTATACGCTTGACACACGCACACAAAGTAATCACAGTTTAAGCGTCTACCTTTCGGCCAATCAGTGTCAAAGGGGCGTAGGCTTGATCACATACATTGGTTTAATGTTGACAATCGCCAGCGTGGGCCGCTCCCGCAGCATCATCACAGCAGAAGTTTGGTAAAGTAGCGTCATATTCCCAGAGTCGGACTTCCGCAGTCAATAGTTCACAAAAGCTACTTTGTTAAAAAAAAGTCACTGTGCTAAAATGATCATCTCTACGTTGTTTTTTTCAAATCCAGTGCGCTGTTTTAATGCAGAGAAATCCATTGAATCCAAGGCACTGCAAGCGCCAAAAAAAGCACTAAGGAAGCGTCAACAAATGTACAGACCAGCTGTAAACGAACAATAGCGTTTACTGAAGCCATGTACACGCACTAAACTCTCAGGCAATATAAATAATGACCATGTCTAACTGCTACAGGCTTTGATTTCAACATTTGTGAGTTTTTTTCATAAATACATATGTTTTTCTTTTTTTATTTGCTTTTACAGTAAATGGTCTTTACTGTAATGTAAGTTACAGCATTTGCCTTTTTTATATTCTTTATTAGTAATAAGAATGCATTAAGTACTCAATATTCAATTTCATTTTTGACTAAGGAGTTGTTTTTTTTTTATATGTAGTCAATAAATTACATTCTAAAAACTGATTATGAAATTCATGATTACTGTGTAGATTGAAAATAGTCTACCGATCCACCCAAATGGTGTCCCTTATTTTTTTGTTCTCAAGTTGGCAACCCTAGAGCACGGTGGCTGAGATTGTTTGCATGTTCTCCCCGTGTCTGCGTAGGTTTCCTCCGGGAACTCCGGTTTCCCCTACCACTAATGCCTAGCGTACATCGGACTGGCAACGGATTATATCCGTCGCATATGAGTTGCTGCCCCGCACACATCAACAATCTGACAAAAACGGGCAACTCCCAGTAGCAGACCAGTCTCGGGAATAACAGCGCGTACATCGACTGCAACTGTCCGTCACCTACAGTGTGTTTTCTGACATAAACTGTTGCGGGCGCAATACACACAATACACACACGTTGTCGGAGCGGCGCATGGAGCACGCACATTGGGTGATATCTCAGAAACTGAGGACAACTAGTTGCCGAAAAGTAGAACACGGGCAACTGACTGAAACTGGAGACCGACTGTTTATCTCCAGTTGAAAGAGCGCGCACATCGACCGATTTCGGCAACTGATCATCTCCCACCATCTCCTCTCAGTTGCCAAAAGCCGCCTTGCAACTAGTTGTCTCCAGTTTCTCTGTCGAAGTACGCTAGGCTTAAAAATATGTACAATAGTTCTGGCATGCGCCTCCTGTACTGCCTGGCGACCCCGCTCCCATTTCTGTGTGGAGTGAGCGACAAATGCCCAAAAATAATAACAATTGTAAACCGCTTTGTGACTCTGGTCTGTGAAAGGCGGTATATAAATAAAGATTACTTACATACTTATGGTTTCAGTTAGCATCACTCTCTGTTAGCCTCATTAGCTCCCTCATGGTTTCAGTTAGCATCACTCTCTGTCGGCCTCATTAACCGGTGGCATTACTCATGGTTGGTTAGCATGATTAGCAGTTAGCAGGGTTAGCTGGTGGCTGCTGAGTCATGCTGTGAAGATGTAGCTCAGAGCGTTTGTTTAATGAGAACAGTCTCGTCAGCGGTCGTTAGCGTTGCTCCAGTGGCTCAGCGTCTTCAAAAACAACACACTATTATTAAATCTTATTTTAGAAGCGAACAGTGGACACTCCACTGAGTAATGACCGGGGCTGAGTTTGCTTTGAGACATTTGAGGCACATTTGGAACAAAGTATGCATTTAACTACTTGTATACACAACAAACCTATATCTTAAACGTATGGAAATTACTTAAATTATTAAAGGTATAAAGGAGGAGTTTCCCAAATTTTAGGAAAGAACTGACCTCTCCACTTTTTAACAAAACTCTCTGGTTTTGTTTGACGAGCCTGTATGACCAGAATGATTGACATTTAAGAGGACCAATAGTCTTGATGATCCACCTGGAATAGAAAACCTTCCTATATACCTCCTGAATTTAGGTTTAATTTCAGGAGGTTTTTTGCCTCCTTTCTCACGTTTCTAACAATGTAAAAAAAAAAAAAAGTAAAAAAATGCATTTGCCGGCACCAGCCCCATTCATTTAACGAGTGCCTTCAAAATTCCACAGCAACTAAACTAGACTGGTCCATGTGTGTCAGCATTGTCCACATGTGGAACATAGCTTTGGGCCAAGAGCCGACTTTTGGACCATCCTGTAAAGACGTTTTTTAAGAGTAAAGAAGACACCGTACAAAAGCATCGGGTAATTCTCTTTCTGGGTACACCCCTACTGGCAAGGAGTGAGAATGCAGCATGTCATCGCACATACTTATGGACTTTTTTGAGCCGGGGCCCACTCACACTGGGGAAACCAGAGCCTGGAGGAAACCACAGAGACGAGAGAATGCCACAAAGGCCATTATGGGAATAGAACAAGCAACCTTCTTGCCACTTCATCCAATCCCTTTTCATACTAAATCAAGGGACATGTAGCACAAGGACTAATGTGTGATTAAATGAAATGTATCGCAAGTTTACTATGACATTAATGAGATTCACAGTAGACGCAACATGTTTTATTAGCAATAAAACAATTAAACAAAATAGCAACAAGCCTTGAAAGCTGGAATAGGTTGTAAATTACTTCTGTTGGGCACTTAAATGAACTATGTCACCAGTAGGTGGCAGAATTTCCCTGTTTCGACTATCATCACATATCTTTTCATTTCCAAAGAGGAAATGCCAAAGTAAAGGTTCAAGGTAAGTTTAGGAGCCTAATGAATACAAATGACTGTCACCAAAACAACACAGACCCACTTTTAGAGAAGAAGCCCTGAGGATGTTTATGTGAATAGATCTAAAATGGCAGAGTTCGTAAAAGTCGAGGCTAGAGGGCAGTTAGCGAGCGCATTTGTGCTGACACAGACTCAGGAAGAGCCTGATAGAAGCTAAAAACCAAAAGACTTTGTAAATGTTTTCTCAAATCAATGAAAGTTTAATGTTCTCACTAAAATATTAAGGCTGTTTGAATACGAGGGTCTGTCTGTTCACTGACAACACAAGTCTGGAGTTTAAATCATTGAATGTTTGTAACTGTTATTTGGTGAAAGTAGCTTCAAAGTAATGCAGTAGTAGTGTAAAGCTGCAGTCCCACCGCTGATTCATGGATGTGCGTTGATGGATGCATGGACGCACTTTTACTAATAATTAGCTGCATGAGTTTAGTTAATCCGACGTACTGTCTTGTGTTGGGAAAAAACGCAGGAAGGAAGTGGTGGGTACTTCCTCATCGGCGAAAACGTTAGCAGCACTTGTTTACAGTCACAGTAGAATGTCAACTCGGGCTGAAGACATATGTTCACAAGTGCTATGTCCTCCATTGTCAGCCCTGGTTAAACCTGGTTTATTTCATGTTTTGGTTGTTTTTGAGTGTCTTCATCTTCCTCTTTGGCCCCGGCTAATGTTCCCATGACCACTTTGCCGCTCTCTGATTTGATGCTGCACATGCATGGAGCAAGGATGTTCAGTGAATCTCATCTCCTGCTTCTGCTGCCGGCATCTAGCCGCCGTAACCACCGTTACCACTCTGCCACGGCGCAACAAGGCGTCTTCAATTCCTCACATCATGCGGACGTCACTATTAACTTTGCATTGAAACTCGCTGCAACGCAGGATCCGGTGGGACCACAGCTTAATGCTTGTATTAGGTTTTAAAGTCACTTGCCCAAAACTAGCAGGGAACAGTAAAGCGGTATTTGTCACAAACTGACTGAGAGGAAGCCCTCGCTCTGGGCTCTGTCCTCTGTGCTCTGTGTTACATCTGGTCCAACATAAACCATGAGACGGTCGGGAGAAAATATGAGAAAAGTTTACGTAAACTAATGCACTCTGACTGGCACTTTCATAAAAGCTGTGGTGCACAGAGAGCAGAGGTGCACAGAGAGAGCAGAGGTACACAGAGGGAGCAGAGGTACACAGAGGGAGCAGAGGTACACAGAGGGAGCAGAGGTACACAGAGAGAGCAGAGGTACACAGAGAGAGCAGAGGTACACAGAGGGAGCAGAGGTACACAGAGGGAGCAGAGGTGGTACTGGCAGGTCTCTGTCTCACCAGGATCTTGTGGTCTCTGGCCGTGTTCTCTGGGATGGTGGTGTAGTACTGGCTCCGCTCCCATAGGGGGGGCTGGTTGTGCAGGTTGGTGATGGTGACGCTGAGCTCCACTGAGCTGCTGCGGTTTCCTCCGTCTGTGGCTACGACCTGCTGCGTGATCCGCGACGTCTACAGCAACAAACACACACACATCAAATACGCACAATGGGGCTAGTGCCGGCATAACGCCTTATTTCACATTATCCAGCCCCGCGACTATTTTGAAACCGCCCATAGAAGACGAAAGTGGTGCCACTTTATTTTGAACGGCGGAGATAGGTGTGACTATATTTGTTAATATTTACAGTCTATGATACTGACCGATCAGAGCTGCTGATCAGAACGGAGCTAGAGCGGGAGACGATTGAGTTTGTGGCACTAAAGGGTCCTTCAGCTTTAAGTTAGAAATACCCTATCCAGATATTAAAGATCCATGGCTGTCGCAAACTCATCTATGAGACAGAAATATGTCTCATAGATGAGTTGGCGACAGCAGAAATTTGCTTTCAGCTCCAATGAATATTCTAAAGGAGCAGGATTTGTGTGTGTACGAGCTCTTTGTCTTCGTCTTCTTCTACGCTTAAATAGACACACACACACATAAACAGTCTCTCTCTCTCTCTCTCTCTCTCTCTCTCTCTCTCTCTCTCTCTCTCTCTCTCTCTCTCTCTCTCTCTCTCTCTCTCTCTCTCTCTCTCTCTCTCTCTCTCTCTCTCTCTCTCTCTCTCTCTCTCTCTCTCTCTCTCTCTCTCTCTCTCTCTCTCTCTCTCTCTCTCTCTCTCTCTCTCTCTCTCTCTCTCTCTCTCTCTCTCTCTCTCTCTCTCTCTCTCTCTCTCTCTCTCTCTCTCTCTCTCTCTCAGGGCCCAGTGTAAACAGTGTGGTGTTAATCATTCATGTTGCAGCTGTGACTCATGAATATTCAGACTCAGGACGAATCCGGGGAAAAAAACACAAAAACTACTGTTACTACTGTGTGTGAGGAGGATCAGGTCCGAACCAGGTCTGAACCAGAGCTGAACCAGGTCTGGACCCCACTCCCCACCACATCGACCCCCTCATCTGGGCTTTAAAACCGTGATAGGCCCATGTCTCTCAACCGTGGCAGCCCAGTTGCCGCAGTCACATACCACCCAAAGCCCGGGCCAAGGCCCACTTTAACTGGGCTTTAGCTTGTGTTTGTGACCGCAGCAATAAGACATTAGTATTCGGGAGTGGTACTTCAACATGTAGTTTTAAGCGTTGGAAACAGGAGTCTTGTCCGTCACTGTTCAGTCCATGGTCAGTGTTGGTACCTGTGAGATCGGCTGCCGGACATAGATCCAGCCCGTGGTGGGATTGACCCCTAAGTAAGCTGGGCTGTGATTGGTCAGTGAGTAGGTGATGGCTGCGTTGCTGCCCTGGTCATCGTCGTGTGCCGCCGCCCGCAGAAAACTAGTCCCCACTGGAGTGTCCTCTCTCAGGAAGTCTGCAAACACAAACACAAGTTTATACATCTTCTTTTAGAGGTAAAAACACCAAAACTATCCAAAGTATTGTTTCAAATGTCCTGAATTTCAGTAGTTTTTGAGTATAATATACTCGGGTTACGGTTTCTCTTTATATATTTAAAACAGTCCCATCTTCCAAAGGTGAGGGGAGAGATGGGGACTCGTCAATCAGACTTACTGTCTATTTTTAGAGGGTTAAGACTCGACTCGGACTCATCCCTCAAAACTCTAACTTGACTCGGAGTGGTGGTTTTTGGACTCTGGAGTCTATACATTTGTGATTTAAGTATAGTCTGTTGCACTGTAGGCTCACCCTCTCTCTCTCTCTATTAATGGAAATGTGTTTAGTCATTTTTAGTTAGTGCTTTTTAAGTTGCATTGTAATGTGTATACAACTATGAGACTTCCACTTTTTCCTTCTATGAGTTTTTTATTTTTTTAATGGCCGTGGCGGCTGAAAATAAAAAAAAACACATTAGGCAGCACCAGCCCCATTCATTTTACAAGTGCATTCTGAAGTCCACAGCGGCTAAACTAGGCTGGTCTAAAAAATATACTCCCCTCAGCATTGACAGCATCAGGAACGTAGCGTTGGGCCTAGAGCCACTTTTGGCACATACACACACACATACATACACACGCATACATAAATACACACACATACATACAAGAATACACACATACATGAATACACACACACATTCAGGTAGATGCCAACACTTCACAATGATACAATAGTTATAATAAATCTTCCTTTGTGTTTGTGTTTGAACATATTGTGTGTTATTGACAGTAACCTCCTCTGTGTGCATATGTGTGTGTGTGTGTGTCTGTCTGTGTGTCTGTGTGTGCGTGTGTGTGTGTGTGCGACATGAGCTGATTTAAAATGTCTGACTGCTGCAATTGTGTCGACGGATTTGGATCAAAGTGAAAGTAAAGCAGAGCAGTGCCGACCTCAGCAAAACATACAAACACACACCAACGAACCCATGCACAGACACACACACACACACACACACACACACAAACAGCATTAGAGCATGCAGGGTTTATTGTTTACCTAAGCTTCTCGTCAGACATTTTTTTAGAAATAAGTCAAATTCACTAATATTCAGTTTATTCAATCATTTGTAAAGACCTGGATCTGGAACAGGAGTCTCTGCTTTGCCTGAGATGAATGGGGTTGTGATGAATACATAAATGCTAATTACTATTCTCTCTCTCCAGAACAGGGCTCCACATGGTTGTGCCCCTGGTGCCTGAACTCTTCAAACACATGGAAAAACTATCGATCTCATTGGTTAATCGTTGGCTGGATGGACCATTTGCATCTGTTGGTGCTGCACCAAAATGCATGGAAAAAACCGTAGAACTTCACTTCAACAAGTTTCATTACCAAATTTCTAACCTCAGACGCTACGTAGGGCAGGGCAGATGCTAAGCAGGTCAGGGCAGGGCCAGTGCTGTGATGGGAGACCTCTGGGAACACCAGGAGCCACAGTGGGATAGCTGTAAATGCTTAGATTTAAATGATTGATGTGAAGTGTGTGACACCCAGTCGAGGCGGGTCCCAGCTTGACATGAGCACGTGCGGTGATACGTGCTGCGATACCACTCTGGGCCGGTGGGGGTGTACCCGGAAAGAGAATTACCCAATGCTTTTCCATGGCGCATTCTTTCTTCTCGAAAACATCTTTACAGGATGGTCCAAAAGTCGCTCTTGGCCCAATGCTACGTTCCAGATGCTGTCAAGGCTCAGGGGAGTATTTTTTTTTGGACCAGTCTAGTTTAGCCGCTGTGGACTTCAGAAGGCACTCATTAAATGAGTGGGGCAAGTGCCGGCTTACGCATGCGTTTTTTCTCATTTTCCTGGCACACAGCCACTTGTAAAAAGCTCACAGAAGGCATAAGTGGTTTAAACAGCGGAGACTGTTGTGAGTACGTCCTTTAATATTTACAGTCAATGGTGACACCGTTAAAACACACTCATTCTACTTCCTGATTGAAATTTAAACCATCATTACATCCACACACCTGCAACCAGAACATGTCTAAGTGTAAATCTAAGTCTGCTCTGACAGATGGAGGACACTGAAGTGCCTTTTAAAGCTGCACTTTCCTGTGTTCAAGTCAATTGTTTCTATTTTGACTCTTCTCTGTCGTCTTCTGCATTAAACATGAGCCTCATCTTTCACTGACAATGCACTTCTCAAAATAACACTTTCTCTTCAGCCTCAGGAATAAAGAGCACAGATGTTTGAGCACAGTGTGTGTGTGTGTGTGTGTGTGTGTGTGCACTTGTTTTCAACTCCTGGTGGGTTCCATAACCTGAGATTCCACTCACGTCATGGGGACTGGTTTTACGTGGTGGGGCCCGAACACCGGACCCCACTGGTCCAAGCTTAATAATCAATGGGTAATGCTTTTCTAACGGTCCTTATGCAGTCTCTGTAAAAATATGGAAAGGACCCCTGGAGGTTTACTTTCCTGAAAAAAGTGTGTTATGTGTCGGAACCCTGGTGGTGGGTTGCGGGATATCAAGGAGGGGCACACTTGGGCAATTTCAGTCCAGCAGGCTGGAGCCAATCATGGAGCAGCACAACAGAGGAAATCAGGTGTCAGGCTAGAAAAAGGTGCAAGTGTGTGGTTCATTAGGCTGCAAGAAATCATGGAGGAGCACACTGAAGCGCACGCTTACAAACCACTGGTAAGTGCTGACTACAAGTCATGACTTCAAATTGTTATATAGAATGATTACAAATTATTTGTTGTTTGTGCAGCTTAGTCAAGAGTCCCTAATTGATGAAGTCGACTCAGATTCTGACGATTTAACTGTCAAGAAGAAACCTGTAAAAAAGTATGGAAAAAGAAAAATCAAAAACACTTTTCTTCAAGACTCGGAAAGTGACGAACCAAAGGCAAATAAGATTGTTATCATGCAGCTGCAAAAGAAGAAAAATGGGGGGCGAGTATACAGCAAGAGACACTTCTGCCTCTACTGTTCAATGTCCTGCCACAAAATGTCCCGTCATTTGACTAGAAAACATGGAAATGAATGTGACGTAGCCAGAGCATTGGCTCTACCTGTGAAATCTAAAGCACGTAAACTTCAGTTTGATTTGATCAGGAATAGTGGAAACCGTGAGCACAATTTTGAGGTTTTAAAGGCCGGCATTGGAACTTTAGTCCCAGCTAAACAGCCAAATTCCCCAGTTTAAATCCAGTGAGTTTTTGCACTGTATAGACTGTGGGGCATTGCTTAAGCGAAAGTCGCTGTGGAGGCATGTGGCCAGGTGCCGGCTTTCACAGAAAGATGCCCAGGCTAAACCAGGTAGAAGTAGGGTCCAGTCCCTCTGCTCCCTAGCCCAGCCTGTACCGGAGGGCATCAGCAAAAAGCTGTGGTCTTTAATTTCGGCAATGCATCAGGATGAGGTCACGGGTGTTGTCAAAGCAGAAAAGGGGATTCTGAGACTCGGAGAGCACCTGTACTTAAAACACGGGCATGATAAGACAAAGCATGATTACATTAGGCAGAAAATGAGAGAAGTCGGTAGGTTAATTAACGAAGCAAAAACCGCAGGGAAACTGAAAACAATTAAGGATTTCTTTATTCCTTCCAACTTTAACCATGTGATTGATGCAGTCAGGTCTGTGGCTGGATATGATGAGGAAACAAATCAATACAAGACTCCATCCTTGGCCCTCAAACTCGGCCATAGCCTCAGAAAGCTAGCAGATATTCTTGAATGTGACTCAAAAATGGAGCATTGTGTTGATGAACTATTTATTAAAAACCTCCAACGAAGCCGGCTGCTTTTTGAGAAGAGGTGGGACGTCTGTGTTTCTTCTGCTGCCCTACAGACCCTCCGGCAAGCCAAGTGGAACACTCCGGACCTGCTCCCTCTGACTGAGGACGTTAGAGCCATGCATGCACATATTGAGGTATGTCGACCTGAATATGTGCAAACCCTAATAAGTGAGCCAACGTCTAAGCATTGGTCTAAACTGGCAGTTTTGACTCTTTGTGAGGTCATCATTTTCAATCGAAGAAGGGAAGGTGAGGTTTCAAAGATGCCACTGACAGCCTTTACCTTAAGAAGTAAGACTGGGATCCATTCTGACATTGCTCTGGGACTGTCCCAACTTGAGAAAAAGCTGTGTCAGCATTTTCAACGCATTGAAATTAAAGGGAAAAGAAGTCGGAAAGTGCCGGTTCTTTTGACTCCTGAAATGATTGCTTCGATGGAGGTGCTGGTGGAGAACAGAAGGGCCTGTTCCATCTCTGACCATAACCCATACTTCTTTTCCCGCCCGGGCGCAGACACCCACATCAGGGGATCAGACTCCCTACGCCAGGTAGCCAAAGAATGTGGTGCGGTGCATCCAGAGATGCTATCCTCAACCAAACTTAGAAAGCACATAGCTACTATGTCTACAGTTCTCAATATGAAAGAGAATGAGATGGACATACTTGCCAACTTCCTCGGCCATGACATTCGCATCCACAGGCAATATTACAGACTACCAGAGGGGACACTGGAGCTGGCCAAAATCAGCAAAGTGTTGATGGCCATGGAGCAGGGAAGAGTGACGGAATTCAAAGGAAAGAGCCTCGACCAGATACAAATTGAGCCTGAAGGTAATTCTTGATATTATTAAAATATGTATGATTTTTTTCCCCTAAAGGCCACTTGTATTTTTATTTTCTGTGCGACAGGGAGAGCAGTAGAGATCCTCTCACAAACGGACGGGCTAAAAGAAACTTCAAGCGGAGAACCTTCAACCATTCATCCAGATGCACCCCATGGTAGTGGCAGTGCCCCTTCTGGTAAGTGTACCAGGTGGGGGATTACAGCCAGGCTGCTTGGTCCTCACCCTGGGAGTGTATATTGCTAATATATTTTTATTTCTCTCCCTAGAACGTGTAAGAAAGCCATGGTCTGCATCTGAGGTGAAGGCTGTGGAGAAGACCATGACACCTTTCATACAGACTGGAAAGGTCCCTGGGAAGTCTCACTGCCTGGCCTGCATTAATGCCTCACCAGATGACCTTAGACATCGGACATGGAGTGGCATTAAATTCTATGTCAAAAATAGAATCACTGCAATTCGAAAACAAAATCTAAAATAAAATTCCTTTAAAATAGTTGTTTGGTTTCTATTGACTGTTTTGTATTACTTAAAGTCTTGGTAAAAAAAGATTATGTCTATGGGTCCCATTCTGAACGGCCCTGTCAAAGGGACCCACCAGGTAACAAAAACGTGTATGTGTGTGTGTGTGTGTGTGTGTGTGTCTGTGTGTCAGCGCAGAGGGTCAGTGTGTGTGTCCCTGTGTGTCAGTGTGTGCGTGTTTGTCTGTGCGTGTGTGTGTGATTCAGATTCAGAAAACATTATTGATCCCAAAGGCCAATTCACTTGCAGCATAAACTCAAAACACACACATACTCTACACAAACACACAGTGTGTCTCACAGTTCACACAGCAGCAGGTTACACAATATAAGTTACAAGAACAACACTGAACAACACAATTCCCAAAAGTCAACCACCTCTACCAGAGTTCAAAAGTTTTATGGCAGAGGGCAATAAAAGAATTTATGCTAGAGCGTAAAAACGAAGCCCTGAAAGCATCAATACAAAGTCAGCGATCAGAGGATGTTTGGGCTGAGCCAGAATACATTTTGCTTTATTCAGCACCTGTTCCTCCCACAGAGATTGAAGGTCTCGGAGTTTTCCTCCAGTGATTTTGGAGCAAGTTCTCATAACACTCTGTAGCTTGTTTCTGTCCTTCAGTGTCAGGCTTTGGAACCAACAGATAAAAGAAAAGCTAAGAAGGCTTTCAATAAAAGAACAATACAATTACATTAAAAGGTGCCTTGCCCTCTACAGGTGGGTGGAGAGGTCCTTCCTCACGTGGAGGAAGTATCTCGGGGTCTTGTTCACGAGTGAGGGAAGGATGGAGCGTGAGATTGACAGGCGGATCGGTGCAGCGTGCGCAGTGATGCGGTCGCTGTATCGGACCGTTGTGGTGAAGAGGGAGCTGAGCCGAAAGGCAAAGCTCTCGATTTACCGGTCAATCTTCGTTCCCTCCCTCACCTATGGTCATGAGCTTTGGGTAATGACCGAAAGAACGAGATCGCGGATACAAGCGGTCGAAATGAGCTTCTTCCGCAGAGTGGCTGGGCGCTCCCTTAGAGATAGGGTGAGGAGCTCGGTCACACGGGAGGAGCTCGGAGTAGAGCCGCTGCGTCTCCACGTCGAGAGGAACCAGTTGAGGTGGCTCGGGCATCTGTTCAGGATGCCTCCTGGACGCCTCCCTGGGGAGGTGTTCCGGGCACGTCCCACCGGGAGGAGGCCCCGGGGAAGACCCAGGACACGCTGGAGGGACTATGTCTCTCAGCTGGCCTGGGAACGCCTTGGGGTCCCCCCGGACGAGCTGGAGAAAGTGTGTGTGGATGTCTGGGCGTCTCTGCTTAGACTGCTGCCCCCGCGACCCGGCAACGGATGAAGCGGAAGAAAATGGATGGATGGATTGATGGATGGACATTTACATTAAAAGAGTTCAATTTCCTCAAAAAGTACATTCTCTGCTGCGATCGTTTAATGGTAGACTTAGTGTTTATGTCAAACTTCAGTTTGTTGTCTATCCAAGATACTCAACATTCCCACCGTGGATGACGCTGGTGTCATTGGATGTAACGCGTCTGAAATCAATGATCCTGTCTTTGGTCTTTGCAACATTTAAGTTCAAGCAATGGTTTTCCCACCAGGAGACTCACCAGTGTGTGTATCAGTACAGAGGGTCTGTGTTTGTGTGTCTGTGTGCTTGTCTGTGCAGAGGGTCAGTGTGTGTCTGTATCGGTGTCTGTCAGTGTGTGTGTGTGTGTATCAGTACAGAGGGTCTGTGTTTGTGTGTCTGTGTGCGTGTCTGTGCAGAGGGTCAGTGTGTGTCTGTATCTTTGCGTGTGTTTGTGTGTCAGTCTGACTCACGCTGGTAGCGGCTGTTCTCGAAGCGTGGCGTGTTGTCGTTCTGGTCTCTGACGGTGATCGTGACGAGGCAGATCCCCATCAGAGGCTCCTCCCCTCGGTCTGTGGCGGTCACTGACACACTCAGCTCCCGCTCTCGCTCACGGTCAAATGTCTTTGTGGTCGTGATCACTCCTGGATCAGAAACATGAAAAGTCAAGGCCAAAGAGCCAATCAGAGTACACAATGTCTACTATGGTCCAATGGCTCCTGTGTGTTTGTTTTATGATCGCATTTAATATGTTCTAATTGATTTATTCTCTAATCCAGGGGTCAGCAACTCAAAAGGTTCAAAGAGCCATATTTGACAAAAAACTAAAAACAATATCTGTCAAAAAATAACAGCTTTGTGTAAGGCTTATATAAAGGTAACACAGGCTGCCAGCTGTGTGTGTACCTGTGATAGTGTCGATGCTGAAGCCGGGGTCCTGGCCGTGGCGGTGCATGAGGCTTTGTGTGTGTTTTGTACCTGTGTCTGTGTGTGTGTACCTGTGATAGTGTCGATGCTGAAGCCGGGGTCCTGGCCGTGGCGGTGCATGAGGCCGTATCGCACGTCTCCGTTCAGTCCCAGATCTGCGTCCTGCGCTTGCACCTGCAGCACTGACACTGAGGCGGGCTGGTTCTCCAACACATGGGCCCGAGCGCTGTACTGAGGACACTATCACAGGTACACACATGAACACATGGGCCTGAGAGCTGTACTGAGGACACTATCACAGGTACACACACAGGTACACACATGAACACATGGGCCTGAGAGCTGTACTGAGGACACTATCACAGGTACACACACAGGTACACACATGAACACATGGGCCTGAGAGCTGTACTGAGGACACTATCACAGGTACACACACAGGTACACACATGAACACATGGGCCTGAGAGCTGTACTGAGGACACTATCACAGGTACACACACAGGTACACACATGAACACATGGGCCTGAGAGCTGTACTGAGGCCACTATCACAGGTACACACACAGGTACACACATGAACACATGGGCCCGAGAGCTGTACTGAGGACACTATCACAGGTACACACACAGGTACACACATAAACACATGGGCCCGAGCGCTGTACTGAGGACACTATCACAGGTACACACACAGGTACACACATGAACACATGGGCCCGAGAGCTGTACTGAGGACACTAGGGGTGGGAACCTAAGGGTACCTCACGATACGATACAATACACGATACAAAGCTCACGATAACGAAGAAGCAGTTTCCACAGGGCTCATTCATGATACTTTTGAAAGAGCAAACACTCCCACGAGACTCCATGTAAAGGAATAAACAAAAACATGTATTCCACAACTCGGACTCTTGTACACTAAATGATATTTGCTGAGTTGTCTCTGAAATAAAGTAACAACGGTAAGAAAACCGTATGGCTCCTTTTTTCTTCAGTTACGTGCTCTTTCGGCTCCACTCGCTCCGTAAAAAAATCCCTCTCTCTCTCTTAAAGTGACGGTAACGTAAATATTCTAAGTTAACAAAATCTACATTAGTTCTAAAGGGTCGGGGTGGTGGCAATCAGCTGCCACCCAATTCACAGATCAATGATCTTCCTGCAGGTGGAGGGTCCAAAAAAAATATTTTGGAGGGTCCAAGAATATTTTGACATTGAAATTTGTAAACTGAATTTTTAGTGACTGAAATGCAAAGACAAAAATATTCAAACACGCTTTTTCAGGGTTAAAAATTTCAAAAGGAAAAATTCAAAATCTGATGACACAAAAAATGCTCTATAATTCTGTTACTTTGGAAAGTAGGTCGTGTTTTCTGAATACTATACAGTAAAATCTAATATATGAATTAATTCTGGGTGTTGTTCATTACTCTGGCAGCCACTCCTCAAGTGTGTGTCTGTGTGTGTGTGTGTGTATGTGTGTGTGTGTGTGTCTGTGTGTGTGTGTGTGTCTGTGTGTGTGTGTGTGTGTGTGTGTGCGTGTGTCTGTGTGTGTGTGGTGTAATGTGTGTGTGTGTGTGTGCGTGTGTCTGTGTGTGTGTGTGTGTGGTGTGTGTGTGTGTGTGTCTGTGTGTGTGTTTGGTGTAATATGTGTGTGTGTGTGTGTGTGTGTGTGGTGAAATGTGTGTAGGCGTGTGTATGTTTGTGTGTGGTGTAATGTGTGTATTGTGTGTGTAATGTGTGCATCAGAGTGTTGTGTTTTAATGAGAGGATGGAGCTGCAGATGGAGTCAGGCAGAAATCCTGTGTCACATTTCAGTGTGTCGTAAATGTACAACAGACTTTATCTTTCTCCTAAGTCTGAAGAAGTCTGAAGAGGTCTGAAGAGGTCTAAAAGGTCTAAAGAGGTCTGAAGAGGTCTGAAGGGGAGTACCAATCGTTTTGGTAGCAAGGGTATTACACTTTAAATAATTTTCTTCAGTACAAATGTGCGTGTGTGTGTGTGTGTGTGCGCGTGTGTTTGTGTGTGCGTGTGTGTGTAAGGGAGACTGTGTGTGTTGTTATTGTTGACCATAGAATTAAAGTTAAACTTTCCAAACAATAAAATTTTTATGTTTTGTTGTTGCTCAATATATTTAAAAATATGGTTATATCAATAAATAGCCACGACTGAAGAGTTCTGAGCTTCATTCATTTTATGCTTTTTTTGTTGCTCGGCAACCAGCCTTCTATGGTATTCAAGGGAATGTTTCGTTTGGTTTAAATAAAGCTTTTCAAACTACAGTGACGGACTGTCTCAAGTGACATTACTCAGGAGTATGTGTGTGCTGTGTTTACGTGGTAACAAGACATTGTTATGTCTTGTTACCACGTGTGTCTGAGGTTGTCTTGGACCAGGATCAGGATGAGAACACCAGGACTAGGACTAGGACCAGGACCAGGACTCCAGGACCAGGACCAGGACACCAGGACCAAGACCAGGACACCAGGACCAGGACACCAGGACCAAGACCAGGACACCAAGACCAAGACACCAGGACCAGGACACCAGGACCAGGACACCAGGACCAGGACACCAGGACTAGGACACCAGGACCAGGACACCAGTACCAGGACACCAAGACCAGGGCCAGGCCACCAGGACCAGGACACCAAGACCAGGACACCAAGACCAGGACACCAGGACCAGGACACCAGGACCAGGACACCAAGACCAAGACACCAGGACCAGGACACCAGGACCAGGACACCAGGACCAGGACACCAGGACTAGGACACCAGGACCAGGACACCAGGACCAGGACACCAAGACCAGGACCAGGCCACCAGGACCAGGACACCAAGACCAGGACCAGGACAAGGACACAAGTATTGAATATGTGGGAGAGTGTGTGAGTGTGTGTGAGGGAGAGTGTGTGAGTGTGTGTGTGTGTGTGTGTGTGAGGGAGAGTGTGTGTGTGTGTGTGTGTGTGAGGGAGAGTGTGTGAGTGTGTGTGTGTGAGGGAGAGTGTGTGAGTGTGTGTGTGAGGGAGAGTGTGTGAGTGTGTGTGTGTGAGGGAGAGTGTGTGTGTGTGTGTGTGTGTGTGTGAGGGAGAGTGTGTGTGTGAGGGAGAGTGTGTGAGTGTGTGTGTGTGAGGGAGAGTGTGTGTGTGTGTGTGAGGGAGAGTGTGTGTACCTCTGTAAACACTGGTTTGTTGTTGTTGATGTCGTTGATGCCCACCAGCACCTGTGTGCTGGAGCTCAGAGGGTGTGGTCCTCCTGATGCGTTGTCATCTGTTGCCGTGACGTTCAGGATGTACTCTGAGCCCGAGAGCGCGGGGGCGGGGCTCCGTCGCAGCGTGATCACCCCTACAGCACATCACACAGAAGGTTCACAGTGGAGGATCTCTGGTGACAGTAACCAAGCTTCGCTTCTCAGCAAGAAGCTCATGGCTTTTATAACCCGTCAGAACAGGGTCTTTCTGAGTGGTTCTTGCATGTTGTCCCCGTGTCTGCATAGGTTTCCATCCATCCATCCATCCATTTTCTTCCCTTTAATCCATTTCTGGGTCAGGGGGGTGGCAATCAGAGCTGCCACCCAAGTCTCATAGCACCAGCCCCTCACTGACCCTCTGTAGGTGGTGAGTCCACAGGAGGACGGCTGCTCTCTGAGTGAGAGCATAGCCTTGATCTTTCAGTTGGGGCTTTGGGCAAAGTGGGGTTAAGTGTCTTGCCCAAGGACACAACGACAGCAGTCATCAGTGGGAGTCGGTGGAGAAGGTGCAGAGGTGGGAATTGAACCTACGACCTTCTGGCCTTAAGGCCAATGCTCTACCAACTGAGCTACTGTCGCCCCATGTCTGCATAGGTTTCCCCTACCACTAAAATATGTACAATAGGTCATAATCTCCAACTCTGGTCCTGAAGAACATCAACCTGTTACTACAGCGACCGATGCTCCAGTGGCATCAGGGTCAAACGACACATTGACCTACAGGGATAAATAAAGTGCCCCTTAACTGTCAACCAAAGTAGTCATACCTCTGTTTTTGTCCAGCAGGAAATTGCGTTCTTCGTTGCCCCCGGTGATGGCGTAGGTCACGCCGTCTCCGTCGGGGTCATGAGCATGGACGATGGCGACCAGTGTGTCTGGACCCGCGTCTTCGCTCAAGAAGGTGCGGTATCTGACAGTACAAAGAGTCTGCTTTTACATGTACTGTATACACACACACACATACATATTATATATATAATACATATATATAAATATGTATTATATATATAATGGTCTTGGTTCAGTCCTGGTGATGATCAGGTTCAGACCTGGTTTTTGTCCAGGTTTAGTCCAGGGACAGACCTGGTTTATTCCTTGTTCAGACTTGGTTCAGACCTGGTTCAGACTCACATGTCCTGGGAGAAGACTGGCGTCTCGTCGTTGCTGTTGTGGAGGCGGATCCGGATGGAGGCGGAGCCGGTTCTGGGAGGACTTCCTGAGTCCTCTGCGATGACTATAAACTCGTAGCCGTGGTTCGGTCTTTCGAAGTCCAGACGTCGAGCCGGACTCAACACGCCCAGCGCCGAGACGGAGAAGTCCTCCGACAAAACCGAGTAGGACAGGTCCGAGTTCAGACCCGAGTCACAGTCCCGAGCCAGGACTGAACACACCACAAGTGATGTCACATTATCACCCATATTTGATACTTTTCATTACAGTTTAGTTTGTCTTAAAGATATATAGGAGGATTTTTCTCCCACAATTTAGGAAAGAACCGCCCTCTCCACTTTTTGAACAAAACTCTCTGGTCTTTTTTGACGAGCCTGTAGGACCAGAAGGATTGACAATTGGAAGGACCAATAGTCTTGATGATCCACCCAGAAGTAGAAATTTCTCCTTTAACATTACAGGAAGAGCAGGGTCTAAGGACAGAGAGGATCCAGGACACTCCACATTTCTGGACAATGGTCTCTGCTCCTTATGGACCAATGTCTCTGTGTGTTATCATTACATTTCCTGTGTTTGAACTGTTTGATTCTCTGATCTGTGTTGGAGAATCGACAGTTTTGTAAAGTCCTCAGAGAAAACTGCGGTTGTGATTTAGGGCGATACACAAATAAAGTGTAATTGTAAATGTAAGAACTTTATTCGACCATTATCGGTGTAACATACTTTGTTAACTGTAGTATATAAAAGTTTATTTCTTTATTTTATCAAAACCTAAAAAGTGTAAAAAAGCAATAACAGTATTAGTAGTAGCAGCTACTACTACTGCTACAATAGTCGCTATAGCAGTTGCAGCAGTTGTAGCAGTAGTAGCAGTAGTAGCAGCAGCAGTTGATGCAGTACCAGTCGCAGTAGCCATAGCATCAGTAGTAGCATTAGTAGTAGCAGTCGCCGAAGCAGCAGTAGCAGTAGCAGTAGCAGTAGCAGTAGTAGTAAAGTAGTTACCCTGCAGGACAGAGGTTCCTGGACTCAGTGTCTCTGGGACGTTGTCTATGGTGAAGATGGACTGAACGAACTCTGGAGTGCAGTCGTTCACGTCTGTGATGTGGACCACCACCTGGAAACACAAGTACAAGTACAGTCAGGAGAGAGTACAAGTACAAGTACAGTCAGGAGAGAGTACAAGTACAAGTACAGTCAGGAGAGAGTACAAGTACAAGTACAGTCAGGAGAGAGTACAAGTACAATTACAGTCAGGAGAAAGTACAAGTACAAGGACAGTCAGGAGAGAGTACAAGTACAAGGACAGTCAGGAGAAAGTACCAGGTTGCATAGGAAAACAAATCTTTCCAGTTTCACAATAACTGGGGCTCGAGCTAACTCTTTAGCATCCAGCTAGCTTTGGCTGCCACGTGACAAACTATAAACAACAACGTCATTCATGGACATTGGTCTCTCCCTTTGGACCAATACAAATGTGTTGTATATTCTCTGTGTTTGAACTGTTTGATTCTCTGATCTGTGTTGGAGATTTCAACGATTGTGTAAAGTCCTCGGAGAGAACTGCTGTTGTGATTTAGGGCAATGCAAGAATTTAATTGAATTATTAACAACAATGGAGCTGACACTACTTCAGAGAGAGGAGGAGGTGATGGGTGAGAGAGGAGGAGGAGGAGGGTGAGAGAGGAGGGGGAGGTGGGTGAGAGAGGGCGAGGTGGTGGGTGAGAGAGGACGAGGTGGTGGGTGAGAGAGGGCGAGGTGGTGGGTGAGAGAGGACGAGGTGGTGGGTGAAAGATTCTCTGGCCTCCCTCCACCTCCCTCCACCTCCCTCCTCCACCTCCCTCCACCTCCCTCCTCTGCCCTCCACCTCCCACCACCACCCTCTACCTCCCTCCACCTCCCTCCACCTCCCTCCTCCTCCCTCCGCACTCTGCAGTGAGTCTGAATAACCGGATATTGTGATGTTTGTGAGCTGCAGGCACAGCGCTCTCTTGTCTCTCGGACTAAACCCGGATTTGTAGAAGGATCAGGCGCCTTGGGACTAGATTTGAAGCGGTTTAAACCAGTCTGAGGTCCAGCTGCAGGACTGTGACGGCAGATAACGGGATCAGGACTGAAGCTGCTCTGAGGCCCAAAAAGGGTTAAGAAATAAATTTTATATTTTGTAACAAGATCACTTTTTAGACTTCATTAAACAGTATGTGCCTGTGCCTGTATGAGTTTGTCTGTGTGTGTCTGTATGTGTCAGTATGAAAGTGTCTGTATGTGTCTGTGAGTGTGTGTGTGTGTGTGTGTGTGTGTGTGTGTGTGTGTGTCAGTGTGTGTCTGTGTCAGTGTGTGTGTCTGTGTGTGTATGTATATTCGCACATGCGTACAACAGGGTGGAGGAGCAGGTGCAGAGTTGAGCCACAGGGGGCGATAGTGAGTGTATTTTCAAAGACTTCTGTCTTAGTGACACAGATGATTCGATTCTCAACCTGGGGGTTGCGTCCAAGCCCCAGTGATCCAAGATGGCGCCGTCTTCAAATCAGTGGCTTGTGCTCAGTGGTGCCCCACCATGGGCACCGAAAGACTAGCAGAACTCGCCCATATTTGGGCAGCCCACGTGAATTTAGTCTTTTTTAGTCTGCAGTACCGTGGGAATCCGCCAAGCACATGGATCGTTCAGCTCCAAGCTACTGATGCCCTGTCCTGCCCTGCAGGTGAAAGATCCTGTCAGACCTCTGAAGCTAAGCAGGGCAGGGGCTGGTAATGTGATGGGAGACCTCTGGGAACACCAGGTGCCACACTGCAACATCTGCGGCTGTAATGTGCTCAACTGTGGCTGTGTCCTTTGGCAAGACACTTCACCCACATTAGAGTCTGGTGTGTGTGTGTGAATAGTTAATGGTGGGAGGAGCTGGCAGCTGTGGCTACAGTATTTGGAGTAAAAGAATAATGCTGTGAAGGTAAATGTGTCTAAAGTGACTGGAGCTGGATGGAGCTCAGGAGTTTTCCATTTGAAACTTTCTTGCCCCAATTTCTAAAGAGTATTCAGATCTGTGAAGCATTTGCATTTGGCACAGTTTAAACGGACTCTAACTGGATTATTCTGTCAAATCCTCTGTTTGCATCGACAGTAAAGTGCTTCAAAGTGCTTCATGCTCAGATTCACTCTGTCTTTAGCGTTTGGACGACTCTGTTGCATCAGTCTGAATCAGATCATCACACTTTGATCAACCAGAAACATGACGCAACTGCACTGGGATAAAGTATATGTGCACACACACACACACACACACACACACACACACACACACACACACACACGGACACAGACACAGAGACACACACACACACACACACGTATTAGTGGGGACTTCATAGTCTGGTGAAAGCGGTGCATGTAGCCTGTTAGCTGCTGTTGTTATGGGTTTGGGCTTATACAAAATAAAACTGCACGCGGCGTTGGAGCCCCTTGCACTGCCTTCTTTGGTCTGTGCAACCACTGCCTGCACCAGTCCTATGTATTCAATTGAGAAATGTATGGTGTTGCCAAAACAATAACTAAGATATTTTGTAATTCACTTTTATGTTCACAAACCAACTTTCCGCTTTCTTAGAGTTTCCTCCCCTCTCTTCACGGCTGACCCTCAGAACCTACTGCTTTGTCACAAACAATAGTATGCAATGTTTATTTATATAGCACACACAGAGTCACAAAGCACTTTACTGTTGTGTTCCAGACCTATTGTGCATGGTAGCAGAACCTAGAGGGAACCTTAGCAGACATGGGGAGAACCCAGGACCTTCTTGCTGTGAGGTACAAGCACTAACCACTGCACCACGTGCCATAGTGGTTAGCTTTCATGTGAAATATTTTGGGCTGAGCCTGGTGCAGGGCAAAGTGCATGTTCCAGGCTTCTACCACGGACACGTATCTGGAATCAGCTCTACGCACAGAGAGGCGTCGTGTTGCGTCTTACGGTCGGGGCTTAAGGTACAGAAGCGTTGGAGAAAACAAAAGCAGTCGTTCACTGCCGATGACTGGACGTCCATTAGAATCACAACCATCTCCAGGTCACAGCACAAAGGGACATTTAGAACAAATACAAATGTGCCATTTATTGTGATTCATTTTGAGTCAACTGTGACATTAATGTGAGTAATCGTGATTAAATTGTAATTGTACCACAGCACAAACTATTACAGTATCACTACAGCGTCAGAGAGGGCCACAAAAATTTCATTTTGCCAACAGAAAATTCACTACATATGTTAATGTTGACACCACACCACACAGAAGGTCCTGGTCCTGTCCTGGTCCTGCCCTGGTCCTGCCCTGGTCCTGCCCTGACCCTGTTCTGTCCTCACCTGGTTCTCTCCTCACCTCTGTGACTGTGCTGAGCCTGGTGTGCTCCTCGGTCACTCGGACCTGCAGAGCGTGGATATGGTGTCCGCTCTCATAGTCCACACTTCTGGTCAGACTCAGTGCGCCGCTCTCCTGGTTCACACTGAACAGGTTCCCAGGGTTCAGCAGGAGAACGTAGGTCAGAGGTCGACGCTGGAAGGAGACGGCCTCCAGCAGAGCCACCCTGCAGAGAGAGGACACTGTGAGAGACACAACTGTACCAGCAGAGACTAGACCAGAGACTAGACCAGAGATTAGGCCAGAGACTAGACCAGAGACTAGATTAGAGACTAGACCAGGGACTAGACTAGAGACTAGACCAGAGACTAGACCAGAGCCTGAAGCAGAGACTAAAGCAGAGAGTAGACCAGAGACTAGATTAGAGACTAGACCAGGGACTAGACCAGAGACTAGACAGGGGGCCTGAAGCAGAGACTAAAGCAGAGAGTAGACCATGGACTAGACCATGGACTAGACCAGAGACTAGACCAGAGACTAGATCAGAGACTAGACCAGAGACTAGACCAGAGCTTGAAGCAGAGACTGAAGCAGAGACTACACCAGAGACTAGACCATGGACTAGACCAGAAACTAGACCAGGGACTAGACCGGACTGACTGAAGCAGAGACTAGACCAGAGCCTGAAGCAGAGACTGAAGCAGAGACTAGACCAGAGCCTGAAGCATGGTTTTCTATATAATACACCTTGATGAGAATGACTTTGCATTGTTAATAAAGGCGGTGCTGTAACAGGATGATTGTGGAACACTGGTTTAAACAATGACAATATTTAAACATGAGAATCACTAGAACATTCATGTTTGTGGAACCATATGTGAAGTAGAAGATATTTGGCTAAACATGAAAAAGTAGAAGTGTGAGATTCTTCAAGAGGAAAACTCTTGAGGAAAGAGGAAAAGGCAATAGTTTGATAATAATTTGATTATAATGGATCAGATAAAGTTAGGGTTAAAAGATCCTCTATGGGTCTCACTGTGGGGAAATGTCAGTTACAGAACAGAAGGAATGTGGAGCACATCTCTATACTTTTAAAATAAATAAAATCTACTATACTATTATAAATCATATGGATGTGGCAGAATTGTGGGAATTGTTTTTATACATCTGAGCTAAAATGTCTACATATTTAAATATCATTAACTCACTTACTGCCATTGACGTATTTGTCAAGACCGGTAATATCTGTAAAACTTCCCTCTATTCAACTGGGGATAACAGGAGAACAAAAATAGCTAGAAACCAATTTATTTTTGCTGAAAAAGTGGACAGTCCAGTCTTTCAGAATCCGGTTTCATTCAGTATTTCACATAGTCATAGCACACAATATTCTGTGGGTCTTGAAAGTCAGTGAAACCATCAAAAATGGCTGGCAGTCAATGAATTAATCACAAAAACAATGACAAACTGTGGAAAGTAGACAGAGAGAGAGAAAGAGAACAATGAAAGAACACTGCCCCCGGCCACAAGACAGGACAGGGAGGAGGGGTGTGTGTGTGTGCGTCTGTCTGTGCATGTGTGTGTGTGTGTGTGTGTGTGTGTGTGTGTGTGTGTGTGTGTGTGTGTGTGTGTGTGTGTGTGTGTGTGTGTGTGTAAAGGGGCAGATGTGAGTGGGCCTGGGGCAGTCAACACAGCGGCACCGGAGAAAATTCAAATATGTATTAAAATGAGCAGCAGCAGCAAAGTGTGAAGTAAACCAGAGGATACAAGGAGCAGGACTAGACCAGAGACTAGACCATGGACTAGACCAGAGACTAGACCAGAGACTAGACCAGGGACTAGACCAGAGATAAGACCATGGACTAGACCAGAGACTAGACCAGAGACTAGACCAGGGACTAGACCAGAGATAAGACCATGGACAAGACCATGGACTAGACCAGGGACTAGACTAGAGACTAGAGCAGGGACTAGACTAGAGACTAGACCAGAGACTAGACCAGAGACTAGACCAGAGACTAGACCAGAGCCTGACGCAGAGACTAGACCATTGACCAGACCAGAGACTGAAGCAGAGACTAAAGCAGAGACTAGACCATGGACTAGATCAGAGACTAGACCATGGACTAGATCAGAGACTAGACCAGGGACTAGACCAGAGACTAGACCAGAGACTAGACCAGAGACTAGACCAGAGCCTGAAGCAGAGACTAGACCATGGACTAGACCAGAGACTGAAGCAAAGACTAAAGCAGAGACTAGACCATGGACTAGAGCAGAGACTGATGCAGAGCCTGAAGCAGAGACTGAAGCAGAGACTGAACCAGAGCCTGAAGCAGAGACTGAAGCAGAGACTGAACCAGAGCCTGAAGCAGAGACTGAAGCAGACACTGAACCAGAGCCTGAAGCAGAGCCTGAAGCAGAGACTGAAGTAAAGACTGAAGCAGGGACTGAAGCAGAGACTGAAGCAGGGACTGAAGCAGGGACTGAAGCAGAAACTAGAGCAGAGAAACCCAGAGGAGGACACAGGGACATGTCAAAAATTACAAAACAACAAAAGACTTACTACGCGACCAATTACTTTGATTAAAATACAGAAGCAGCTGAGTCAACGTCTGAGGATTTGTCACAGAGAGTAAAGCCCAGTCTCCAACCGTTTCCCCGAGAGATACTTTTCTCTTGATAAAACTGTCAGAGAGCGACTGCTTTGGTACAACAAGGGAACAACCAGCTTTCTTTCCTGCACAGATATAACAAATATGTCACATTTTTATTGGAAAATCTTGTTTTAAGACCATCAAAAAGTTCGCATCATTTTAGCCCAATTTGGACAATTTCCGTTGTGTACTGTTATGCCCATAAATGAATCCATAATAATAATGTTCATATTTACTCATGAAATGATGGGAAGCTAATGGTGCCTCCCAAGCTACTGGTGTCTCCCGAGCTACAGGTACCTCCCAAGAAACTGGTATCTCACGAGCTACTGGTGTCTTCCGAGCTACTGGTATCTCCCGAGCTACTGGTGTCTCCCGAGCTACTGGTGTCTCCCGAGCTACTGGTGTCTCCTGAGCTACTGGTGTCTCCCGAGCTACTGGTGTCTCCCGAGCTACTGGTGTTTTCCGAACTACTGGTATCTCCCGATCGAATGGTATCTTCCGAGCTACTGGTATCTCCCAAACTACTGGTGTCTCCCGAGCTACTGATATCTCCCGAGCTACTGGCATCTCCCGAGCAACTGGTATCTCCAGAGCTACTGGTATCTCCAGAGCTACTGGTATCTCCTGAGCGAATGGTTTCTCCCGAGCAACTGGTGTCTCCCGAGCTACTGGTATCTCCTGAGCAACTGGTATCTCCCGAGCTACTAGTATCTCCCAGCTACAGGTATCTCCCGAGCTACTGGTCTCTGAACTCTGTCTACAGTCACTTGGACACTAGTAAATCTGTGGCGAGAATGCTTTTCATCGATTATAGCTCTGCTTTTAACTGCCTTGTCCCAGGTAAACTGATTGAAAAGCTCATGTCTCTCGGTTTAAGTGTTGCCATGTGTAAATGGATTTTTAGCTTTTTAACTGACAGATCTCAGAGAGTGAAAATCAATGACTGTTTTTCTGATGTTGTTTCTGTGAGCACTGGTTCTCCTCAGGGATGTATTTTAAGTCCTTTGCTTTTTACTTTGTACACTCACGATTGTGTGTCCTCCTCTGACTCAAACTTGATCATCAAATATGCTGATGACACCACCATCATCGGTCTCATCAGTGACACTGATGAATCCTCTTATAGAGCAGAGATACAAAATGTGGTTCAGTGGAGTAAAACTAACAACCTCCAGTTGAACGCATCGAAAACATGTGAACTGGTCTACGACTTCAGTCGCAATAGTTCTCATTTGCCTGTCGTAATCGACAACTCCTAAGTGTAGATCGTAGAGGAGTGCACGTTTCTGGGTCTAACTCTGTCTAATGACCTGAAATGGGTTAAAAACACTGACCGAGTCGTTAAGAAAGCTCGTCAGCGTCTCTACTTTCTGCGGAAACTTAGAGAATTTACCACTAACTCTAAGATTCTGCTTAACTTTTATCGCTGCACCATTGAGAGTTTACTTGTTGGTTCTGTGTCTGTGTGGTTTGGAAACATCACAGATAAAGAAAAGAGATCTTTAAACAAGGTGCTCCGCTTTGCAAAGAGGACCGTGGGCTGTGAGCTTCCTGTTCTGGAGGTTCTTTATAAATCCAGACTTTTAAACAAAGCTCTTAGGATTGTCAATGACTCTTCTGGCCACCCTGGGAAAGCCATGTTCCAGCTTCTTCCCTCTGGCAGAAGATATCGCTCTCTGAGAGGCAGGACATCTCGTTACGCTAACAGTTTTTATCCACAGGCTGTTATCAGTGTGAACAGAGCACTTTAATGATTTGCACTTGTTTTGAAACTGTTTTAGTCGATCGATTTCACAGTGACATTTGTTTACTGTTTTATTTGTTTTATTTCTGTCTTTTAATGTTGTTTTATGTCTGTATTTGTCTGTGCACACTGGAGACTTTTCGCTAATGTATTCCAATGTGGTGTTTTTACTGCAAATGGCAAATAAACTGAATCTGAATCTGAATCTGGTGTCTCCCGAGCTACTGGTATCTCCCGAGCTACTGGTATCTCCCGAGCTACTGGTATCTCCCGAGCTACTGGTGTCTCCCAAACTACAGGTGTCTCCCGAGCTACAGGTGTCTCTCCCGAGCTACTGGTGTCTCCCAAGCTACAGGTGTCTCCCGAGCTACAGGTGTCTCCCGAGCTACAGGTGTCTCCCGAGCTACAGGTGTCTCCCAAACTACAGGTATCTCCCGAGCTACAGGTGTCTCCCAAACTACAGGTATCTCCCGAGCTACTGGTGCCTTGCGAGCTACAGGACGGAGAGATGTGGAGCAGAGTGTGGGGAAAGGAAGATCTATGGGTTGTGTGTGTCTGTGTGTGTCTGTTTGTCTGTGTGTGTCTGTGTGTGTCTGCGTGTGTCAGACTCACGTGTGTGTGGGTGCCGTGTTCTCTTCCACTCGCAGCACATAGCTCTGGTTGGTGAACTGTGGCGCTCGGAGTCCGGCGAGGATCCAGACCGAGGCAGAGATGACCTCCCCTCGCTCCGCCTCCTCCGCCTGCACCTTCAGCTCGTACTCCAGCCCAGGAGACAGAGGGGCTCCTGTGGTCTTCACCAGTCCTGAGAGCCGCTCCACCTCCAGACAGCCGTCCCCTCCTGACAACACAACACAGGTTAATGACAACACAACAACACAGATTAATGACATCACAACAACACTAGTAATGGAATTGACCAGATACCTATAGTCTCCAAAAATAAATGAAAAACTGAAAAAAACAAATTTCATCCCCAACGAACCAATGGGATGCATTTACCCGCTTCCCCCTCTTCCTGTTTCTCGCGAGTGCGCCGGAGTTAACGGATTTTCTAAAACCTAAGATGACTGAACAGAAAACGGTAATTTCACGTTTGCCACCCACTCTCCCTGTTGTGGCAAAGAAAAGAAAATGCTGGATGTTTGGTTTGGTGGAGAGGCGATGGGAATGGTTTCTAGTTGGTGCTATGGCTAAGCTAACAAAATATCTTACTGCACCTTTAATGAGATCACAACACAGTTAAGGACATAGTTTTACTGCAAATGGCAAATAAATGAATCTGAATCTAATTTAATTTTCTCTTTGGGGGTACGGCCCCCGAGGAGACTGTCTGGTTAAACTCTGGCCCTCTGACAAAGTTGATGACCCCTGCTGTACGGTGTGGTCTGCTGCAGCAGCATCACAGAGAGAGACAGGAAGTCCAGCTCAGTCCTGGGCTGTTCCCTGGACACAGTGCAGCAGGTGGGGGACAGGAGGGTCCTGGACAAACTAACATCTATGCTGGACCATGACGGTCGCCCCCTGCAGGACACTCTCTCTGCTCTGGAGAGCAGCTTCAGTGACAGACTAATTCAGTTCTCATCAATGAGAACTGCTGAGCCTATAGATTGCAATTATGTGCAATGTGCAATACTGAAACTTCAGGATGTCACTGAATGTCACTTTTTCCACTTATTACCCTGCCCTATATGTATATAATTTTGGACTATATGTATTGGATTTTTGTTGAAAGATTGATTTTGAAGCATTTACAACTAAGAAAAATAGCAGCCACTTATTTGGTAGATTGTGTGTGTTCTTTACTACGTCCTGTTTGTGCGCTGCGCTACATTTTTCCCACCACCGTGATAGACCGTTCAGACTTAAGTATGAAATGAGTGTAAATTACTCTCAGATGGCTCGAGTGTGTGTGTGTTTTAATAGAAGGACAAAAGTGTGTGTATTTGTGCGTTTCTGTGTGTGCTGGTCCCATGTGCACGACCTGAGGCTGCGAGGATCAGCTGTGGATCCTGTTACACACACACAGACTGACACACACACATACACACTCACACTCACACAGACTGACACACACATACACACTCACACACACACACACAGACTGACACACACATACACACTCACACACAGACTGACACACACATACACAGACTGACACAGACACACACACTCACACACACACACAGACACAGACATACACAGACTGACACAGACACACAGACACACATGCACGCACAAACACACACACACACAGACTGACACAGACACACAGACACACATGCACGCACAAACACACACACACACACACACACACACACGTCTCTGTCAACACCTGTCAACACCAAACGCACTTGCACTTCTCACAGCTCCGTTCTTCACTCACTCGGAAACATTAAGATGTTTTTCTTTGTGTAAACAAACATTTGTGACAAGCATGAGTTCTCTCCACTCTGTGTCCAAGGAAAAGTGTGTTTTCACAACAGAATAAATCTGTAACATGCCACAGCAGCACTTGTCACGAGCCCCATCCTTCATTACAGTTTGTTCCTGTTGCTTGAACACTATCGACACTTAGAGCAACGAAAGAAAACATGAAGCTTTTAAACCTTTGGTCGTGTACGGAACAATATTTCTGATGACATTAGAACAACTTTGGAGGATCATGTGATCGATCATGGCCTCACAGTCAGGGAAGCAGAGAGTCACAGCTGCATCATCAGGACCTTCAGATGTAACTCTCTACTGCAGACAGTATCTACAGTATTTACAGTACTGTACTCTATCACATATACTGTAACTATACTGCAGACTGTATCTATAGTATTTACAGTACTGTACTCTATCACATGTACTGTAACTATACTGCAGACTGTATCTACAGTATTTACAGTACTGTTCTCTATCACATGTACTTTAACTCTCTACTGCAGACAGTATCTATAGTATTTACAGTACTGTAATGTATCACATTTAGTGTATTGCAAGTTGGCTATTGCTCCTTTTGTGGTTTTGTGAAACAGTAAAGTACATAGTACTGCACCATTGAGATGTCACAGTACTGTGTACAGTTGTATATTTCTACAGAAGGAAAGAAGACCCTCTGGCGGTGGTCCGAGCAGGGACCATGATCCATAATCCCATAATGCATGTGTGTCTGCATGTGAGTCAGTGTGTGTGTCTGTGTGTGTGTGTGTGCATTTGTGTGTGTCTTTGCGTTTCTGTCTGTGTGAGTGTGAGTTTGCTTGTGTGCAAAAATGCTCTCACCTTCCAGAAGACTGAAGTGCACTTGGGGCACGTGCTGGTCTCGGCCGGGGTCTTGGTCCTGGTCTCTCACAGACAGCCTGTAGACCTCAGTACCTGCTCGAGCGTCTGGACTGACCACACTGAGGTACGGGAACGGAAACATGGTCCAGTGCAGAGGAGCTGGACCAGAGGGGACCAGAGAGATCCGGACCGTGTACCACTCTGGACCTAAACAAACACACACAGACATACAAACACAGACACACACACACAGTTAATTTGTTGTGATCTTTCAGCAAAATATGTTTTCCTTGAGGAACTTCCTTTTCAGACTAAGCACCAGTGGGAATCCATAAAAAACAGACTTACAAGATATAACATACAATAAAAGTGCAGAATAATGTACACGAAACCGATCATAATCTGCTTCAGCCGAAACCGACCACGGCCCAATCAGCTGTTTACTGTGGAGGAGGCTGAGAGGATGATTTGTGAACCTGAAGTTTACAACATTTACGAAGGAGATCGAGGCAGTTGTATTAAAGCACTGAATCTTTAAAGGGCCCATATTACGCTTTTTGACTTTTCTCTGGTTTAAACATGATTACAGTGCTATTTGGCCTCATACACACGCCCAGAGCAGTTTTTTCATTGATTCCGTCAATCTTAAGTTAGCGATCTTTCTCTTTCATTCTCGAGAGGCACAGAAACGAAACGAGCTGATTCAAATCGTGAATCAAAACTGAACCAGCGAATCAGCGCCATCTATGGTCAGCTGCAGCCTCTCTCCGAGTCCAGCGTGTGGTCCATAGACAGTGAATAAGTCTCTATGCTTTTTTTGTGTTAGCTTCATGTCAACTTGGAGAAAATGTGTTGTTGGTGTAAATATGTGACAAGAGTATTTGGCCGAAGACAGAGAATGAGGCGAATGGGGATCGACTTTGTTCACGGGGATTTGTCTCCGCGAGTCTGAAATCCGCGACAAAACTCACAGATCATTTTTTGCGAGTGACGGTGACACAACCAAAGACTGTTCCAGAAGTAAAGTTACCTGGAAACGGGACCTACTCAAAGAGAACTTAGCGTGATGCCATGTCACCGGGCGGGCGGGGGGAGGTGGGCTCACAGGCAGAAGAGCACTGATCCAAGCGTTTCACATGAGCTGAGATCACCTCTATGCACAAGTTTTGAGTGTTGCATGGTGTATCACCCAAATTATTATCACACATGTGCATAGGATGGACTGTGTAAAATTAAGAAAAGCGAAATATGGCACCTTTAAATCCTCAGTCATCGACAACGTCATGATTCTGTTTAGTTTATCACAGAACAACAACAGGTGCAGCTGTATAGACCCTGAACATGAGAGAGTCGTCCAAATACATACATTTCTAAACCTGGATGTTCCCTGTTTGCTCTGATGCATCTCCAAGTCTCATTCTGATCAATTTAGTTTCATGCAGCTCAGCCACATTAGACTGTGCAGCTCCTCGGTACCGCAGCTCCTCGGTACCGCAGTTCCTCGGTACCGCAGCTCCTCAGTACGCTCCTCTACGCCCCCTTCCTCATCTCTAGTCATGATCTTTGGGTAACGACTGATACAAGCGGTTTGAATGAGTTTTCTATGCAGAATAACTGAGTGTTCCCTTAGAGACAGATGAGCTCAGCCAAAGAAAGAGCTCAGAGTAGAGCTGATGCTCCTCAACGTGAGGAGGCGTCAGGGAGGTGGCTCATCTGTTTGGGAGGCCTCCTGGTCTCCTCCCTGGGGAAGTGTTCTGGGCATGTCCCACCGGCAGGAGACCAGTGATAGACCCAGGACACAGAAGGACTGTGTCTCTCAGCTGGGGATGCCTAAGCATTCCCCCAGATGAGCTGGAGGAGAATCCTCCGTGTCTCTGACGGAGAATCCTCGGTGACGCTGGAGCTTTCTTTGCTGTCATCAAACTCAGGCTCTGCTCTTTCATCTCTGAGTCTGAGGAAAGTGTGTCTCTTTCCAAACAGATCAGAGCGCCGCAGCGGGAGCTCTGTTGTGGCGAGAGACTGGTGTTTGAAGACACGTCTCAAATCAACGTTCAAACTAAACAATAAATATGTAAAGTTTCCGGGAAACTCACGTCAAGAGAAGAGAAAACAAACAGTTATTACCAGCAGGAATACTGCTGTTTAAAGGAACTCACCAGACTGTGAAGTATCCAGTGCACTTTAAATAATAACTAAAAAACAATGATTTTATATATCTGTTGTTCTTCTCTCCTCCGTCTCCCCAATGGCTGTGAGCGCCCCCCCACACTGACGGGAGTCCTCTGCCCAAATACCACTGTTCTGAACAGTATCCCTGCATTCATGATACGATTTATGCTTGTAATAGAAATGTAATGAGTCAAAAGTGAATCATTCAAGATCATGTGTTAAATTCTGGAATCCTTTGGGGAGCTGCTGGTTGGAGACCCCTGCTCTATGTGATCCTGATCCGGGAATGTCTTTCTTCCAGTTCTTGTGTCGTTACTTCCTGTGGACAGGTGGTAAGAGTGACGTCCCAGTGATATTACAGAGCAGACTGAGGCGACAGCTGTAAGAGCCTCTTTGTCGTCTCCCTCAGATGTTCTCTCACAGAATATTGTGTTTGATAATGAATAATATCAAATAATAATAATGCGCTGCTTTTCAGGCGACTCACACAAAATCAACATGTGAATAAAACAGGAGTCTGAGAAGCAGGCGCACATCTGTATTCATGTGTTCATGGGGAGCGCCAACGACAATCTACTTTTCTGTCAGAACCACAGACGTATGTTAGGAGTGGACTGTGAGCTGGAACCATGGACAGTAAATATTAACAGACGTAGTCACGACTGTCTCCAAAAGTTTAAACTACTGTGCAACTTCTGTGGGCTTTTTCAATATGACAGCGGGGAATGTTGTAAAAACGCATTTGCGCATTATGCATTCAAAAGTCTATACCGGCTAAACTAGACAAAAATAAACACTACCCTCAGCATTGACAGCATCTGGAACGTAGCTTTGGGCCAAGAGGCGACGTTTAGACCATCCTGTGAAGACGTTTTCGATAGGAAAGAAGACGCTATACAAAAGCATTGGGTGATTCTCTTTCCAGGTACACCCCCACCTACCCGAGTGAGATTGAAGCATGTCAGCACCATACACTGTAAAGAATTTCCTTGTAGAAAAACGGTAAATAGTTGGCAAATATGGTTCCAGGAATTTACCGTTTTACTCAACGTGGCATTACCGTTGCTAATTTTAACGGTTTAAGACTGTTTCACTGAATCACATCATGTCTTTGTGATTTCAGGATTTAACTGTATGTTCCTGTTAATTCACTACAACAATAACAGCTTTATGATGTTAATGTTGTATTATTACACCATGTGACTGTTTCTGTTTCTAAATAGTTTAATTGAACAAAAAACTACGCAGTTTAATTTGTTTTACTTTAAAGAACCCAACTTTTCAATTATTTTTTAACATCTTCAGTTTATACAAGAAAGTAGTTGAAATCTTTACTTCTATAACATGCTTAATTCAAAAATACCATTTTAACTAAAGCAGGAGTTTACATGTAAGAGGTACCTTTTACACTCATAAAATCACAATGTAATTTTATGGTATTGTAACGTTTTATTGTAATCACATTATAATTGTGGTAATAAAACGCCACTGGAAGTTTTTTAACCAATTTATACTTAAATTTGTATGTTTGAATTGTTTTTCAAAATAACATTTGTTTAATGTTGAAATTCCATTGTAATTTTACATAAATTTGTTACAGTGTAGATTTTTCAATGTACACAACAGCCAAACTAATCTGGTCCAGAAGAAAATACTCCCCTTAGAATTGAAACGCGCATGGAACTGGGCCATGAGCCGACATTTGGACCATCCTGAAAAGAGGTTTTCGAGAGTTGATCAAATATAGAATAGAAATGCATGGGATAATTCTACTTCCGGCTGCATGGGTCTAAAACAGGCAAATTTAGCAAGAATGGTGAACCAAATGTACGCACTTTGTTAGTAGCAAGTACAAAGTTACCAATTGGAGCGTACAAGTGGGAATTGGTTAAAAAAATCTGAGTGTTCGAGAGTATAATAATAGTTGCGATATTTGGGCCACAATTCTATTTTATTGCAATTCTAGATTCTAGCTATACTAGAGGATTCTGTTCTTCCGGGTGGGTCACATAAATAACTGGTCCTCCTAATTTTCAATCATTCTGGTGATATGTGATGTCCTGCAGTAGCATGGGTCACGGAGCAGAGAGAGGAGCGGCCATGAGGTAGAGGTAAAAGTTGAATATATGTTTTAATTAGGACACAAAAGTTAATTGTAATAACATTCGAGTTGGGAAATATCCCCGTCTGTTGTTATATCAGAGGTCTGTTTGGTGATTATATCTTCCAATAGCCATCACTTATATAGAGTGTTTGTACCTAAACACGGATCTCTCCACTCTGCTCTCACTGGTAATTTAAGAAAACCTCGTATCCTACACTATTTAGCCAATCAAGAGAGAGAGAGCCGTTTAAGGAGGTTTCTCTCTGAATGTGCATGGGCACTCTCCAAAACAAACATGGCGGAGAATGCAAAGCTGCCTTCAGCGCCGCTGCAGACTAATTACACGCAAAACGCCAGAAAGGGAGGAACGACAAGAATGAAAGAGCAACATGGTGACCAGCTGCATTCATGTTGGCGACCTCCATCTTGGTGGATAAAGCATGGATGTAAAGATGTCTCTCCGACTGAACAGGTGAGCATTTTACTCAGTAGTGGCAGTAGTAGTTGTATTATTTGTACATATTTTTTCCTGAGATGGACTGTAATGCGGTTTTTCATCAAACTAGCTTGTTAAAAATTCCCGGCTGTTGTAGAAATATGCTCCATTTTGTGGCGACAACTGCGCATTACCCAGGGTTAGCTACGAGAAAGACGACACAACATCGAAGCCTTAGCCTGGCCTTAGCCATCCGTAAACTCCGGTCAATTATTAGTTCCGTACATGTACAGAGTTAAATGAGTACGATTTGAGTAGACCATGCAATTGACGCCTCTTGTAACGAGTGTGGAAATAACTTCAGTAGCAGTGACTACATTTACGTTCATTTATTGTTTCACAAAAATAAAATAAGGGAAAAAAGGGGTAGGGAAGACAGTGTAAAACTTGAGTCTCTGGAACGCGCACAAATGCACGCGCTTGTGGGCTGGGTCTTTTATTAACGTGAACCTGGCCCCCCATCATACTCAAAATTTTATAAAAAATATGTCAATCGTTTGTGCTACGTTTGTGCTGTTTTGTGCTGTAAACATTTTTGTTTGTGCTGTTATTGTTTTTGAGATATTGAGGATTCTTTTATAGGTCAATCTGAGGTCACCCAGCCCCTCATTTTGCTAAAAAATGCTCCAAAATGGACGAAAATAGTGTCATTCGTTTGTGCTACGTTTGTGCTGGTTTGTGCTGTAAAAAATTACATTTGTGCTGTTATCGTTTTTAAGATATGAATAATTGCATTATTAGACGATGACGTCATCATACTCTTTCGAAAATGCGCAGAACTGACTGAGAATGGTGTCTATCCTTTTGGCTTCGTTTATGTTGGCTTGTGCTGTCATCTGCAGGCGCGGCCCAGCCTATATTGTTTGTAATGCCATGTGTTTACGTTGTTAATAAAGAACTGATATAGTCAAAGCATTTGTCATTATTTAATTAACACTACAACACATGTTTTATTTTTTCTATACCACTGGGAGGCGCTAACCATTAAGTTTACCCGCTAAAATTTGAACATTTTCCCTCAAAGAACTAATAAAGCAGCTGCATTTTAACTTCAAATACGTATTTAGGTAGTTCTCCCTTTTAATTGTACCCTTACAGTATGGACCTTTGCATATTCTGAAGATCATCAACGTAAGTAATTACATTTTATGTTTAAACAATTTTGCTAGCTTATTTTTTTTTGCTAGGCATTCTATGTGAAATACTGTATAGAATTCATTAAAACATTTTAAAGTCCAAAAATAAAATGAATGCATTTCATATAACTGTATACATTGCTTCAATTATAGTAATGACAAAATCCACAGAAATAAACTGAAAAAGTAAACACTTTATACATAAGACAATTCATAAGAGAATATTTAAAGTTTTAGAGCAGGTCAGATGCAGAGAGAGCAATATTAAAATTTTTTGAAACAGGTTTTGGAAGAGTTCAGCTGTATATTGTGTGAAACATATTAAGATGAACCTTTCAATAAAATGGCATAATAAACAACATTACTCCAGTTTACATAAGGTGATTTAATTTATTTTATTTTTTTACTAGATGCCAAAAAATCCAGGAGTGGCCACACATGCTGTTATTGCCATCCTCTCAACATCAAAAGAGGCTATATTAATAAATGGGGAAATTGCTAAACCTGCTGAACAAATCTGGACAGAACTCAGCCATCAACTTGATGAGAGAATGTCTGCCAAGGCACTGTATACCTTTGTAAAACAAAACAGGCACAACATCTGGACCATTTTGGGTCTGAGTGACACCAGTGCATCTGAAAATAGTGAAGATGAGCCACCAGTCGATCAGCATAGTGACAGTGATGGAATACTTCAATCAGAGCAGACTTTTCAGCTGTTGGTGCCATTTGAGAAATGGGTAGAGTTCATGCCGGAGAGCGTCAACTATGCCAACAGAAAATACAACATATTAAAACCAGGCACTTTGACTCATGTCATGAATGAAATATTATGGAAAGAGGTGAAACATACCTGTACCTTTATATTTAAAAGGGCAAAGGTTTATTCCATGTCAAAAAGTAAATACATAGACATTCAAGGCTACTGCAAGGAATGTGGAGGTAAGCTTCAGGCCCAATGTCTGAAAGAGCCACCAGTTCAAAGCCCAATGGTCTTCCAGTGTCTCCTTAAAAACATCCTTTCCTCGCTCCACACAG